AATTTTACTAACTTTTCAACCATCAAGACCTTGTTGTATTCAAATATGTAGCCTTTTTTAGAAACTTAAGCTTTCTGCAGAAAGCAAATCTTTAAGAAATGAGTTAACGAGAAGGTAGCATTAGAGAAATTGAGACTTCGGTGGCCTGAAGGTCTGTAGAAATTATTATTCAGTCTTCACTTGGAGGCTTGTGAGAAGAGAGGACAAAATACATCTTCAAATATAAAAAAGAATAGAGGGGCAAAATGGTTTATAACAGGCCATCAGAGAACAACAGTCGTGGAAATTAGAAAAAAATATTAGAAATGTATAAACGAAAAGATGTCGTTCTGTGAAAGTAAAACAATTTTACTAACTTTTCAACCATCAAGTCCTTGTTGTATTCAAATATGTAGCCTTTTTTATAAACTTAAGCTTTCTGCAGGTAGCAAATCTTTAAGAAATGAGTTAACGAGAAGGTAGCATTAGAGAAATTGAGACTACGGTGGCTTGAAGGTTTGTAGAAATTATTATTCAGTCTTCTTTTGGAGGCTTGTGAGAAAAGAGGACAAAATACATCTTCAAATATAAAAAAGAATAGAGGGGCAAAATGGTTTATAACAGGCCATCAGAGAACAACAGTCGTGGAAATTAGAAAACAAATATTAGAAATGTGTAAACGAAAAGATGTCGTTCTCCAAAAGTAAAACAATTTTATTAACTTTTCAACCATCAAATCCTTGTTGTGTTCAAAAATGTAGCTTTTTTAGAAACTAAAGCTTTCTGCAGGTAGCAAATCTTTAAGAAATGAGTTAACGAGAAGGTAGCATTAGAGAAATTGAGACTACGGTGGCTTGAAGGTCTGTAGAAATTATTATTCAGTCTTCTTTTGGAGGCTTGTGAGAAGAGAGGACAAAATACATCTTCAAATATAAAAAAGAATAGAGGGGCAAAATGGTTTATAACAGGCCAACAGAGAAGAACAGTCGTGGAAATTAGAAAAACATATTAGAAATGTATAAACGAAAAGATGTCGTTCTCCAAAAGTAAAACAATTTTACTAACTTTTCAACCATCACGTCCTTGTTGTATTAAAAAATGTAGCCTTTTTTAGAAACAAAAGCTTTCTGCAGGTAGCAAATCTTTAAGAAATGATTTAACGAGAAGGTAGCATTAGAGAAATTGAGACTAAGGTGGCTTGAAGGTCAGTAGAAATTATTATTCAGTCTTCTATTGCAGAATTGTGAGAAGAGAGGACAAAATACATCTTCAAAGATAAAAAAAATAGAGAGCAAAATGGTTTATAACAAGCCAACAGAGAACAACAGTCGTGGAAATTAGAAAAAAAATATTAGAAATGTATAAACGAAAAGATGTTGTTCTGTGAAAGTAAAACAATTTTACTAACTTTTCAACCATCAAGACCTTGTTGTATTCAAATATGTAGCCTTTTTTAGAAACTTAAGCTTTCTGCAGGTAGCAAATCTTTAAGAAATGAGTTAACCAGAAGATAGCATTAGAGAAATTGAGACTACGGTGGCCTGAAGGTCTGTAGAAATTATTATTCAGTCTTTATTTGGAGGCTTGTCAGAAGAGAGGACAAAATACATCTTCAAATATAAAAAAGAATAGAGGGGCAAAATGGTTTATAACAGGCCATCAGAGAACAACAGTCGTGGAAATTAGAAAAAAATATTAGAAATGTATAAACGAAAAGATGTCGTTCTGTGAAAGTAAAACAATTTTACTAACTTTTCAACCATCAAGTCCTTGTTGTATTCAAATATGTAGCCTTTTTTATAAACTTAAGCTTTCTGCAGGTAGCAAATCTTTAAGAAATGAGTTAACGAGAAGGTAGCATTAGAGAAATTGAGACTACGGTGGCTTGAAGGTCTGTAGAAATTATTATAGAGTCTTCTTTTGGAGGCTTGTGAGAAGAGAGGACAAAATACATCTTCTAATATAAAAAAAATAGAAGGGTAGAATGGTTTACAACAGGCCAACAGAGAACAACAGTATTAAAAAAATATTAGAAAAGTAAAAAGAAAAAGATTTCATTCTATGAAAGTGTAATTTTTCAATAATCAAGTCTTCTTCTTAATCAAAAATGTCACCCTTCTTAGAGATTGAAGTTTTGTGCAGGTAGCAAATCTTTAAGAATCTTTTATTTCTAATAAGAATAACTTTGTTTCTAAGACAATGACAAAAAGCAATTAATATTTCTGAACTTCTAGTTTGCCTCGCACAAAAAGTTACCTCTCATGACAATCCACAAGGGCATGATTATAGAGGGGACAAGATCGACAAAACAAAAAGCCGAGTTCATATAAAAAATGGAAATTATAGATGAAGTCTCTGTCCACTGACTATGTCATGGTATTTATTAATTTTTATCTTGTGTCCTTGCCCAATTCCATTTATTCTTAAAGCTGCGCTACATTGGTCTAACCAATGCTGGAAACTCTGTGTTGTTGTTACAAAGACAACAGGGAAAGACCAACACAAGCAAAACTGACCAATCATCAGCTTGCAACATTTGCTACATTGACATTCCCTAATGTTGAATTTCAACCAATCAGTGAAGACCTTGTAAAACTTCAGTACTACTGCTGATAATAAATGGCAACCTGTATCGTTTTAGTCTGATTTAATCTAACAAAATGTGTTTACTTCACTTCTCAAATATTGCCAGATCATCATTGAAAATGTCATAGTAGCAGAAAGGTGGAGGAAAATGTTAAAAACAAAGGATTCAAGGATGAAAGATTAAGAAGAATCTTTGCAGAAAATTTGAAAAAAATGAATGGATGCAGAGGAGGACAGGAAATCCTAAGATATTGGAAATGGGCAGATAAATATGAAAGGGGCCATTAGGAAATTTTGGATTTAGAAAGAAATCTGAGGGTGGAATGTTATAGCTCAATGTATGGGGTAAAATGTTGTGATAAAGACAATTGAGAAACAAATAAGCAGATTCTGAGCACAAAGAATGATTATTTGAAAAATTATAATTTCAGATCAGTGTTCAAGAAGAAGTTTAAATATGCTTTGAACAGAATTTTTACAATCTTGATACAGGTCTGTAAAAAGTAATGATGCAAATCCCCTTTATGAAATTCCTGCCTGTAAATTTCCTTGGTTTTTACAATCATTTATATTTTTGCTCTCTATTTTTGTCTTGTGAATGTAAATAAAATGAAAATGAAATAAAAAATGCAATGAAAATGAAATCAAAGATATCTTTAGTATATGGTAGAGGATTATTTAGATAGCTTTCTTAATAGTATTGATGAATTTATATTTCTATCAATCAATTTATTCTGAGGCCAGTGAAAATAAGCATCTTTAAAAAAAAGGATTCTCTCAGAATGCTTTTGGGCCAAAATATCAAAAAACCTGAGAGAATTTTTAAACCAAGCTGATCTAATCACTGAGATTTTGAAAATGCATAGAGGGAAGTGGCTAGGAGCGCTAAGTGCATTGGATGGAAGCTTTGCCAAAGCTTCAAAGGTATCGAAAAACCCTCAAAATTCGTATATAATTCTTCTGTCAGTAACATTAAATTAGTAACAAATCAGTAACAAAGTAAATTAACTAAAAATAAACTTGCTTAGTTTCTAAACGGGACTTAGAAATGCAGCCCTAAGTTCACCAAGAAATACATGCCTCAGAGAAACCTTGACTAGTTGCAATGCATTCTGATTTTTAACCACAAAATTTACTCCTAGTAATTACATTTCAATTTCCCTTATACCGTTAAATACCATCTCTATTTCTAAAACTTCAAACCGAAAAATTGAATTATCCTTTTTACCAGACATACCTTAACGATTGACCAACGCCGTGGGTTTTAGAAACTTAAAATTACTTTTTACCTTTTAAGATCTTTAAAATCGAAGCAAATCAAATAAAGGTGTTCTGTCGTACCTCAGAAACTTTGTATTCGTCTTGCGTTGATCCACGTGGTTGGCGACCATGTTTATTATGATCTTAAGATTATCTCGACGGAAACGAGGCAAGAACAACAGATTTCTAAGAGAACAGAACAGACAGAGCTTCTAGGCTGTGTGCCAGTTTTACTCTAAAAATGAATTTTCAATATCTATTTGATCCAATAATTTCCGGGGCGAATGATTGACTCGTCACCGATGCTGTAAAAACCAGCGTTTATATCAGGTAGTTCGACATAAGAAGACTATTCCCCCTTATTTAAGACAATATCATCATCAAGCCTCTTTTGGGGCATAGTATTTGAACCAGCCTCATTAAAAATGTTCACAAATCAAAGATGAAAAATTTTGACACATCAGATGTTGAAAATTATTCAATGATAGTATAAAAGTTGAGAAATTCATAAATGTAGAAATTATCTTCATAAATTAAGAGTCAAGTGTGAAAAATGGTGCCTTAGCAAAGCTGACTTCAGTTTCGGAAAATGTTATCAAACTTCTATCCTATGAAGTTCTTTGTGCAAATTAAATATATCACTACAAGATACGCAAAATAACTTTGAAAAAGTACGCGCACCCAACATATTGTGAAATACTTATAGTGATTATAACTAACATTTTGCCGAAAAGATAATTGTGCGCAATGAATTGGTTTTTGAGGAGCTTTCATTGAAGCTGCTGGGTGATTTTTACAATTTAAAACAAAGGGATGAAAAATCAAACAAAAACTTAACTCAATATTCCTATAATAAGATAGCAACGATAAACTTTGAAAAATGTATTGAAATTGAAACGGGAATTGCAAAATGTTTCAAAACCTGTGGAAATATAAAAATCTCAGCAAAACCACATTTTTTCTTGTCTAACGCAAATACGTGCATGTTGGAAACTGTGTATTGTGAATTCGCATACAGAAGAACGAAATTAAAAGCAATTTTTTGACTGATTCAATAAAACCACATGTCTTAAACCTCTTTTAAATTCAAGCAATATATGATTTAGCAATGCGTAGATTTGAGTATAGATTCTAAAACATAGCTAAGAAATTAAGATTTTTTTCAAACAAAAACATTTTTCTAGCCGTTTACACATTAAGCGATTAAAGAAATTGCTAAGCAGTTGCAAATGAAACTTTGCAAAATTTGTACAAGCAATACAAATTAAAAAGTATACAAAAATATTTCTGCCTTTATTTTTTATAATTTTTTTTTAATGTTGTCTGTAGCGGTTCTAATAAAATGAGAGAATTTCTATCATATAGGTTCTTATTCTTTTCTGGTTCAGGGCAGTTTTGAAAAATGGATGTTTTAATTGCAAATTCTATCCTGTGTAAATAATTATTGGGAGAGAATAAATGAAATAAATTCAAGGAAACTGTTAAAATTAGGCTATGAATACGAACTACATTTAAACGTCTCTGTGTTTTTACGTTTTGGATATTTAATCACAAGGATTTTAACGAACGAATTTAACTAGAAAACGGTATCTTTTGAGCGACGTTTATCCAAAAATTCATTACCTGTGTTTACTGAACCAACCTTTTTGCTGGTCCAGCAATGGAAAGGAGAAGATATAATTGAATAAATACATTCTAAAATAGGATGGAGCACAAAAGGTGTTGAAACAATCAATATTGGCAAGAATTTTAATGGAAAATTCTCGTAATGACAACATATCTCTTTTAATGGGAAGGCGGATTGAAAGCTATTTATGCTTGAGAAAAAATTATTGCAAACTCTGAATGTTTGCTGACATTGGATGCTTAAAATCAATTAATCATTATAAAAGACAAACAATCACTTTAATAAAATTCAGAGATAACTTCAAACATTGTCAAATGGTAAAAACAGCTTACAGGGTTAGCTGTATTAAAAATGAGCGAATGTGCTGGGCCTTGTGACAACAACTCACATGGTAAGACTTTCGAATGATTGCGCACCAGATTGAAGGTGATATACCACGAGCATCATTTGCTTCTTCACTTCGTCCCAGTCCTTGTCGATTCGATTATGGGCCCTGTATATCGCTTGTCCAAGTGCAGTGAACTTGTTTCCGCCAACCATTAGATTTGATCTAGTTGCATAGACGACATTCCTAAAATATTGAACATAGACGATATCAACCAAGTAGAAAGAGAACTCACTATTAACCGATGCTGTTTAAATAACCCTGTTCTCACGTTCTAAAGGACTTTAACAAATAGCAATAACAAATGTCTATTCCATACCGATACTAGATGAATAAGTGGTATTTAATTATAAGTGGTAATAATGATATTTAAGCAGATAAAGTATAGGGGAAGAGAAAAATGCTTTGTAACACAGACATATAAATCAAAGAAAACAGTAAAGAAGTATCCACTTCAACGTGATTTAAAACGGCGATTACCTTAAGTCGTCCCTTCCCATTGTCCCAACCTGGTGAATGAACTGGCGCTGATAATTTTGAATTCTGTCATTCATCATCCTAACTTGGAGTGGACTAAAAAACAATATTTTTTGTAACAAATGTGGCCACTGGTTCAACGATGATAAAATAGAATCGGAAATTTGTGCAAAGGATATTATTTTATTGTCGATGACTTCGCATTGGTAAACTATCGACCATGAACAATACAGTCATTTTCACTTATCATCAAGACATCACTTTGAAGGTTTCTAATAAAAAGCGTAACTATAAGAAAAGCGTATACTTAGGGGATGTACCTTCCCACAAATACCTATCACATGCTATTATCAACTTTCGTCAAAGTGATATACCAGCGCAGCAAAAGCCACAAAAATCTCTCATTTTTGTGTATCTATACCATTCAGATACATAAATAATCTCTTAAAAATAAGTTGCAATAGCTACCTATTACCAAAGCTACCTATAATCTCATACTAAGGACTTTATCTCAGCGATTTCCTAAATTTTGTTTGGGGGAGTTATACAATAGGCTTTGTAGAAGCTTCCAATCGTCAATCTACGCTCCAGTTTCTCAATTTTAAACTTTTTGTAAAACCTAAAGTTGTCATGAACTTTACACTGACGGGATACTGTGCCTTCAACAGATCTATTGCCATCGAGCAAACAAGCGTTGAAGATACAAATACAAGTTACGTGTTTATTCGACTATTGGTAAAACTTCTCACTCTTTCAAGTCGACATTTTTCATTCTGCTCTCGAAGCTTGCAACAGACTTTGTTAGATTTTCAGCTGCTTGCACAAGAAGATCTGCAAAAATTTACATCAAATATAGATAAAAAGTATTCTGGCATTTCAAAATTGAAACCATCATTTCTATGATCGAATAAAATCAAGTGGACTTGCAAGCGATAAAAGAATGGAAAAATGAGTATGTGTTTAAGGTCTGTAAAACAGATCCAATACACAGAATGCCTCATACAAGCTGATATAATATTGCAACATCGAAATGTTCTAGAACCGCATGGAAACAAGTAATATGATCGTTTAAAAACAAACACACAAAGGTAACATTGGAAGGACAAGTCAAGCTTATATGTGACTTTTCAATAGAAATGTGCAAACATACTTTGAAATTAATCATAAAAATCGAATGATAAATGGTCACATCAAAGTATTGGTTTGCCAAAAGCACACAGGGAAAATAAAGGTTATTCTACAATGTTTAACATTTTACAACTGACTGGGTTTTTAATAGTAGAATCTCCTGCCATGGTCATTCCTAATCTCAGTATTGAGTTGAATTATACTAAATCATTTGAACGGTTATATATTTATTAAAATTTTGTTTAGAAATAAACTGATTTTTGAAACAAAAGATCATTCTATTTCAAGACACTGCTTTCTGTATACATCAGTGAATTATATAAACTGACACTAACACTTTGGGATTCTTAGCTCATCACAATGTCTGCTAAAAGATGAAAAATCAGAACTCAAGCATACGAGAGACTGAAAAATTCTAGCGACAACGAAACAAGAAAACATACCACTATAAATGCCATGAGGATTCAAGTACTTTTTGTGATCCTTCTGGAATTTCAAGGCGTAATACTTAACATTGGCGGCAGCACGTGATAGATTGAATGGTAGAACCAACGAGTCAGCAAGGAGCAGTCCGAGTTTTAGCCACATCTTGCCAACTGTTAGATGATAACGAAAATCAGGATCGACGTACTTTTCCATCCATTTGAATGTCTCGTGCATTGAGTGGTACATTGGATACATGTATGGATACTTGGTGCCTGTTTTCTGTGGGGAATGTAGAATGAATTTATCGGCGTAGAATGTAAAACAAGGTCTGAACCAGAGGTCAGTTGTCAAACAAATTGTAACCGTATGTCTAACTTGATTGCAAGAATTGCAGAAGCCGCATGATCTGGAAGAATAGGCGTGTCAGCCCTTTTCCTTTTTTTCAAATCTGCAGTTTCCAAAAAGGTAATAATACGGTGATATGCTTTGGTATAATTATAATCTGAATCCAACAAAACTAATGCGGAAACAAGATTAATCAAAATGAACTTAAATTGAAGTGTTCTCGATGCCATATAGTCAGAGCTAAACCCAACACGGCTTCTAAGGCCATGTTCAGATTTTCAACACGAGCTAAGTTTCTCAAGTGAATGGTAAAAATATTTCAGCTTGGTTGTGTTTAGTGAAAGCGGTGAAATGTAGAAAACTTGCTGTTGTATTTTGGATGATTAACTATGAATATACTGAGCCATCTGAGAAAACTGTCTCTTAAAGATATACAAACCTTTTCATACATATAACGGAGATCCACACATGAAATGCCAATAGTATGATAGAAAGGCTTATAATCACTACCAGATGTCGCTACGATTGTTCTGTGGGTAAAAAACATTATTTGAGATGGTGACGTTTGGGCTGAAGATGGTGTAATGCATTTCTGATTGAAATAGCTTTGGCCATTTCTCAAGAAAAAGAAACAAAGCCTAATCAGCATAGCACGTTCTAGTCAAAATTACCTGACTTGGCCTATTTCCTAACTCATTCCTACCATCAATAACAAACTACTGTGCAAAATTTAAGAGTTCTCAAAAACGATTAATAATCCTAAACTACTTCAAGCGATTCAGAATTATGAAAGGGTAATTTCTTTTGAATGAAAAGAAAGAGTGGAATGATAATAAAATAGAAAAATGAAATATAATAAAATATAGTGACCACTCATGTTCTTACTTTGGCTCGCTTGGTGCGCTTGGGTTTCTATTCTTTTTAACCCAGTCTTCATAGAGATTGGCATTTTTGTCATCCGGTGCAGGAACCTGGTAAAGTTTTTAAACCTATTACAGATCTCTTATACTTGTAAATTTGAAATTTCAAAGCAAGAGTATAAATACTGTGGACTTTATGGTTATACTGAATGGCAAGCAGATTATTCCATTTATGCTTATTAAAAAAAGCTGCAAAAAGACACCGTCAAAAGAAAAGCACCTAACAGGAAACAGGGAACAGGATGGTCCAGTAGTTTAGTGCTATCTAAATAATCAGGGGTGGGGGGGGGGGGGCTCTTGCAGAAAATGTTGCGAAAAACAACAGCAAAAGTAGAAATTTGCCAAATCATTCGGCACTACACCCCTGGGATGGTTCATATCTAGTTTGCCACTCTAGACACTGCCCCTCATAAAACTCGTTCATAATTTCCATGGGTCAATGATTATATAATAAGTTGTCTTTTAAATCCATATTTGGCTAAGCATTTGTATGTCCTGGATGTTTCCTCTTTGGGCACAGTGTAATGCATTTCTTTCAGTCATTTTCAATAGAATGACTATGGTACAGTTGATATGGCTCATACCAAACAAAGATGTGTTGTTGTCATCAGTACAAACGGAAGTCGTAGAAAACTGATAACAGTGAAAAATAGAAGCAGGGCCATGGAAACTATAGGGGGTAGGTGCAGAGGTATGATGCCCCCTTTCGAAAAAAGAACGCTTCAAAAGCGAGGAGTTTTGCCATCTCAAGGTGCGTCATTAACGATTTATCGATATTGTGGCAAAAATCATGGCTCACCCACTTTTTCGGGAAAGGACACCATGATTTTGTTCTGGAGCACAAAATGTAGCGATGACATTGTGTTGAAACATATCAAATTGATAACAGGCAGAATTTGATGACGGCTATTGGCAGTTGACTTGCCATCAGAGGGTTATATCAAATGAACTTGTACAAACAACCAGTCTGAGCAAAAATGAACTATCGATATTTGCATGTGAAAAGTACATATTTTCAAATATCACATCTAAAAAAAGACTGAAGTGGACAATTACTGTATGTCGAAGTGTTTACACAGTACAGCTCAAATTTTAGTTCGCATTCCTAACAGGATAATTCACTTTAACAGGGTCTCAAATTTTTAGTTCCAGAATGTATTTGGTTTGGAATATTTGGCAAACTTTCATTGAACGTTCATACAGTTGACAAAACAAACATTTGTTAATAACCAAAATTGTTTGAACAAATCTCATGTCAATACAATTTATTTACAAGGTATTTTTTATTTATAAGAAACAGGAAACAGTTAATTGAGGTTCAGGATGGCTGTTCTGAATTCATCCAGAACTGTTAGACTTGGTTGTTCTAAATATGTTTTAAGCTACTAGAGAATAAATCAAACCAAAAAACGAGATAATATTTTGCCGCAGAACAACCTAGGATGTGTATGTTTAGATTGCCTAGGCCACTGGATACTAAATATCTCATATGGCAAATTTACAGCGATTCAATTAAATACTCAGATTGCGATTTAATACTTTTCCTTTCTTTAGAACAGCTACAAGATCATATGCATACAAGACCATAAGCTAAATTAAAAAATTTTAAATCAAGTATAAAATATCGCTGTTTACCCTTTTAACCATTCGATGACTCACGACAAACAAAACACCTTTTCAATAGCACCCTTTCAAAGGAATATAAATTGTAGATTCTATTTTGGAAAATCTAAACATAAATTCACTTTATTGATGAAAACAATGCAAACCTTCTTCGTTGCTTCAAAAAAGGCATTGTCAAGCTCTGGAGTTCCTCTCAGCCGCACAGTGTAGTTTCCTGAAAAATAAGGCTTCTGTCAATTGATAAACTTTACGAATTAAGTATTATATAATAATAAGAATCAATATTTAATGATAATCATAATATTATGCAATTCAATGATAATAATATTTCATGTTCATGCAAGTTCAATTGAAGAAAATTAATAAAAGATTCCTCAGAGAACGATCGTTAAACAAAAATTATGAATTTCGGCATCTGCCTGATGCAAGAAGAGATTCACCTTCCACAGCAATATCAACATTCAGATATGCTATAGCACGCTCTTGGAGCATTGAGGCGTGGTCCTAAAAAGTGAAAGCGCGGAATAAGTACCTTGTTATTGAGCTACACACATATACTAACTGGGGCTATTTGAAGAAGAAGGAAAGCTAATGCAAAGTTAAAAATGCTAAAGGACAGGAAGATTAACGGAGTTGCTTTAACAACCTCTTCCCACTAAATATTTTAGTCCATCACTATGAAACAAGGCCGTCTTTCCGAGGAGATATCTATCTAGATAAAAAAATACGCTTCAACTTGGCTTAAAGTCCATTCGATATACGGAAGCGAAACTCTGGAATGACCTATCAGCTGGCATTCGATATACAGCAACTTCTAGGCAACTATCTTTAGCCTACCTCAACCCATTCTGTGGATCCATGGATTCCAAACTCCTCTGCATCCCAGCTACAAAGCATTATGCTTCTGCGTGGGCGCCAGCCTATAATATCAGAATAAAGAGATTGTTAATCTGTCGAAGGTACAACGGTTATTTACTAACACTTTCAGACTTTTCATTCAGAAAGATGCCTTTGACATAATAACCAGAAAAAGAGTACTAGCTCTTTGAAGAAATAAATTCATATAAAAGGTAAATTTACAAACAGGCTATCAAGCTTTGGTTTCAAAAGGCAGAGGAGAAAATTAAAAAAGAGAGTAGAATAAGCAACTGATTGCACCTCCTTTTTTCAATTTGCCAAGTGATCTAGATATCTCTAGCAAAGATGCCTGACCACTTGAAGCATCTCCAGCTCCATATCCCCAAGAATCACGATGGTTTCCAAGAAGAACTAAGCGATCTATAATAAAAGAATAGAGGTTGACTTGAAGCTTGGGTAAAATATGATTGGATTGGAGTTTGAAATTGATGAAGATATTAGAGAGTATGCTGTCTAAGGAAACTTTGAATTTCAAGATTGTATTACGATAAACTAGATCTAGACTACGCCTTGAGCTGTAAAATGCTAAATTCTTCGTAAAAATGCTTTGGTTTAGAGACATTATCTAAGGTAAACCAAACCAAATCGGCTAAAATCTTAGTTCTCTTTGCCTCCTCCGACAATAGACTAAGCACGAAGTGCGCACAAAAACATTTCAATTAATAACACACATGAAATAAAATTTCAAATGGACAAACAACTGGATGAAGAAAATGTTTTAATGTATAAGCCAACCTGGTTCAACTTTGCCATATATTACTCCAGATACAGTGTATGTTGGTCTAGATTCCAGCTTGGTAAAGACAGACAAAGTCACGTTCCTACGAAATTTACGAAGAAAAAAAAATCAGCGTGTAATACAATGAGAAAATTCAAAACTTCGCAACGATACAACTTCATAGCTTAGAATATTTTCAATCTGAGATTAATGCTATCAAAATTAGTATCAAACGAAATAATTTTCTGAAAATGTGTTTGGAAATTTGTCAGTCTGTCTGAAAATGTGAAAATTCCTGTGCCTGAAAGTGAAAATACTATAAAAATGAAGGAGTAAAAAGGTTTTCTTCGATCTGGCACACTTTAGTGAAGTCTTTGATCATGTGACACCAAAAATTGCCAAAAATAGGATTTCGCAGAATATGAAGATTTGAGCCCTCTTCAAAGAAAATCCATTAAGAAAGCCGAAATTAGGCTCTATGTCTTTGCAAGACTGATTTCAACTAGTTTACAAGATAAAGGTCAGGTTTATTCATAAATATTACTTTTTAAAAGCTATTGATAAGCGCCAACTAGCTGCAAATTGTTGTCTTGATATGGCTATGAAAAAGAACACTGCATTATATAATATGATACTGAATCAACTGACAAGAATACCTACAGCGTTGAGTTCATTCGATAATCAAAGTTTCCATCACCCTGAAAATAAGCTGATCCTTTCATGCCATCCATGTTCCTGTCAAACAAGGAAAATATTTTTAATTAAAAAATAATCACGTTGAAGCGCGCAGTTTATTACTGTACTGGCAAAAAAGTGAATTACTAAACAGCAACAGCAGCAACAACAACAACAGCAACAACAACATTGATGATCCATTTTCATGACTAACGCTAAAATGCTCAAAGCTAGTAGATCCATTAAGAAACCAAAATAATTCATCTAAACACTATTCAAGAAACCATGCGGCAAACGAAAAAGGTGAACATTTCTTTTTAAGTTGAATATATCGACCAAAGTGTTATATCGTACTTCATTTCTCTTGTTAGTGATTCTAATCTTAATGCATTTGAGATACAGAACAGAGAAAAACTTCCCCCGGCAACCTAGAGTTGTATTAGAAAAGGGAAGGCCCAAAATAGTATTAATCCAGTAGGGATGGGACGTAACACTGGTAACCTAGAGTTGTATTAGAAAGGGGAAGGCCTGAAATAGCAATAATCTTATAGAGAGGGTAAGTAACACGGGCAACCTAGACTTGTATTAGAAAAGGGAAGGCCTAGTATTAATCCATTAGAGATGGTAAGTAGCACGGGCCACCAAAAATTTCATTCACACTCAAACACTCTATACTCAGCACACGCTTATCATGATAATTCCTTTATAAAGAAAGACACGATCAAGAGTGAGTAGCTAAAGACAATCAAGTAGCTAACTGTGTAGAACAAACCTTAGTAAAACTTCAGCTTGCTTGAACTGGATTGGCTGAGAAGGAATAGTTGGCAACGGAGAGGCCTTACTTATATCTGCTCTATAGAATCCCTCTAAAAACAAGAAAGACAAGTAGTACGGGTAAGTTGAAAATGGCTAAAAATCATCGAAAATTCTGCTTGCGAGTAAAACATACTTTTTGACATTATCAAATAAAGCGCCAGCGAAGTTGAGCCAATTTTGCATGCCAAATAACGTTAATTCCCGCAAAGAATAACCTAAGAACTCAAGGACCTACGGACTGTCTTTCTTTGATTGGGCACTTTGTATTATAAGACATTGATTTGGCTGAGAAATGTACAAGGTTCTTGAAGTAACAGGTATCTTCATGAAAGTTTGCGTGTTGACCAAGGATGAAATCTGATTGCAGTCTGCGTGGTGGCAATTTTAAGTTCCAAATTGCCAAAAACCCATGCATTTCCAATCTTTAAAGATCTTCGTTTCCCAGAGAGAATTGAATTGCAGTATTTTCATATACGATATTTTGGCCCCTTTCACCCCTAAATGCAAGGAATACACTCTTTGGAATAAAAACCTTGGATCCTAAAGATGACCATATCAAACTTCTGAACAAGAAACAAGAACAAATTACACTATTGACTAATTGATCCACCCTCCCTGAAGCCTTTTCTCCGGTGCTTGCTCAAAGAGTTAAGAAGTAGGAGGGGTTTTGTGTTATATGAATAAAAAAGTTATTAACGCTACATAAACTATATCCACAGCTAACTGCTACAAACAAGGGAAAAGGCGTATGGAAACTAGAAGAAACTGCCTTGAATTGTTTGCCTCATCCCTAATTTAATGGAATGGATGTTTACGTTCCAAAAATTTTCCAGTTCTACATATGCTTATATTGTACCCTCCATACCCAATTAAAGGGGCTTTTAGTCATGTGAAATGGGTGTTGACGCTTTCCAAAAGAAGAATTCAACCCTCTCTCAACCAGGCATCAGACAAGATACATAGAATATAATCAAAAAACAGGTGCGGTGCCAAAACTGCCAAAGTAAAATATCTGGAAACTTTTCGTACCATTCTAACAAATAACTGACCTTTGGAAGGGTATTCCCGAGAAAGGGCATCTCCTTGTCTGCGTATAATAGTTCCACGCTGAATTCCCGTGTCAGGAAGTTCCCATCCATTGGGATATTGTGCACTCTTTCCCGAAGGATTCCAATTTTGAGGATCTGAGAAAATTAGGCATCCAGCAGCCCCCCTGGCTTCTGCATTGGCAACCTAATGGGTACAAAACTAAATTATAAAAAAGTTCACAATAGTTTCTGTGCAATAGAAATCTGGTTGATTCATACAGCTCTGTCAGATAAAACAGCTCTGCAAGAAAACGGAATATGTATCAAGTAGTTCATGTGAGACCAGATGAAGCAATATAAAAGAGGCTACCCAGACTTTCTTCGGTTTGACTAATCAGTGGGGAGTCGGACAAATCTATTCTCTGATCCAGGCAATTTTTATCTTCACATTTGGCAAAAATGGATCATAGAATTGGAATCTTCATGTTGAAATTAGTCTGTGCCGAAAACTTCAAGTTGTTTGGGCCGTCAAGCTGCAAATTAACCCACTTTCAAGATTTAGTTTTTCCGAAAAATTTCAATGGAAGTTGTTGCTGTAGTGTTTTTTCACTGCAGCAGCAAATTCCGGTCAAATCTAAAGAAATATCTAAATATTCAAAACAAAGTAACTCGCGACCGAACGATCCAAACAACATGATTTTTTCAGTAAAAACTAATTTAAAGATGAAGATTTCAATTCTGAAGTCTATTTTTGAGAAAGATCCGTAGATAGCGAGATACAAAATCGATGACGTCAACCCGGAACGGAGAATAGCAAAAATGACAAATTATTTACTGATTGGCGCATACGGAGTGATTGACAGCAGTATTGCTGAAAGGATTAGTTGACTAGCAGCGCCTGCTACCAGTCAGTATTTTTTATCTCATTGGTGCTTTGTTGTTCAAGGTTGTCTATCTATAAAACTTGAAGTTAAGAAATTACAATGTAATCCTCGCGAGAGGAAAAATTCTGTCACAGTTAGTAGGTGAATAACGATTTCCTACAAAATTAAAAATTCACGGTCTGTTCATGGTTGATACTCATATACAAGGAAGAGGCTGGGGTCTACAAAAAACGTTTTGCGCTTCATACAAAGAAGAAGACTCAAATTCTGTAGACAAATATTTCAGTAACTTCCAGAATATGAATGTTGGGTGAACTATCTGGGTTCCAGTAAATAAAAGTTAGAGTTATCAGGGGCTTTAGTTAAAATGACTTAAATGTACTTATGTTACTGTCACACGTATATTCAATATGATAACCGTTAACCGGTCTAAAACAGAGTCTTCAATGCTTAATATTCAAAGCTGTATACATTTTGGTTTATAGAGCAAGACGGCAGATAGCATGACAGCTTATAAACCTTTGAACTTACTTTTGCACCTCTCGATGTTGGCCCATATCTCATTAGAACAATTTTTCCTTTGACCTCAATGCCAGCATCCTCCAGTGCCTTGAAGTCTTTATTTTGACCGTAGTTTGCATACACTAGTTTGCCCTGCAAGATGAAAAAATTGCGTTTCTAAGAAATCTAGAGGAATCGTAGATCGACTGTCTCATCGTCATCCTACCAAAAATGTGCTGTATTTTAACAAAGGGGCTCTAAATTTCATCTCAACTTTGACTCCCCTCAATTCAGGAATATTACACCAATGGTACACATTTCTGTCTGTGCTGTGACTGCTCAATCTACGTGGAAGGAACGCCAACATTCAGTTAAGCGTCGTGAGAAAAGTAGGTTGATTTTTCACTGGTACAATTACGACAGGTTACAAGAAATTGTTCAAAAGAATTTTGCGTCTTTTTTAGACTTTTGACGGCGTCTTTTAATCTTAATGAAAACAAAAAAGGTAGCTTATGTCTACGATGGCCTTTAAAACCATGGTTTTATCGCAATTCCATCTTGAAGCCCTTCTCAAATGTTTACATTTCCATTACCGATTCATTGTTGTCTTGAACACGGGAGGCAAAAAAGCAAAGAAAGGACGGTAAATTCATTAGAAGGTGTAGACGGGACAAGAGAAAAGATCTCTCATTCGTGTTCAATTCCTTTCATAGATAATCTTTATCTTAAATCATTCTTTTTTTGGGATCTTAAGGATTATTTACATTGATAAAAGAGCAAACATAGGCGATTAAAAAGCCAAGAAATATTAACTGGTAATAACTGAGATATATAAAGGTATTGTAGTGAGGCTTAAATCAAATATGCAAAAAAGTAGAATCAAGAAAAACAATTTTGTCAAGAAAAACAACTGATGACGTAAGTCGAAATTAAATTGTCTTCTCTTTTGTATTTTAGGACAAAACTAAAAAACTATTAGAGTGTGTTTGGCATGCTCCCCTACAGAACAAATAAAAGAAATTATCCTTTAAAGTTTAAAAGCAAATAAAGGTAATGGGAATAATGAGGTTTTTATGTCTCTAATTTTTAATTGACATGTATTTCATATTCAAGGCAAATAATCCTTTGTTAAAAGAAGATAGTTCTGCATACAAATCTCAAAGAGGGAACTTCACTACCACGTTATGCAAATGTCTGCCACAGCTGATTAATCAAGACCAAAACATTCGGGCCCGCCTAATCCAAGAAATATGACAATGTACCTACTGAGGGCCATGATTTTTTGACAGGCAACACACTCTCTTTTTTATATGAACCAGAGTTTTCTCGAGCCTCGAACAAACTGATTTCGAACAAACCGAAAAAAAGAACAAACTGAATTTTACTAACTTATTTTGGTATATTTCTTTTAATTGTCTATTCAGTAGATACCTTTCTGTATCATTGCAATGTCTGCATTTTGGATGTGTAAACATGGCCTACTGAAAATACTTGAGACAAAGAAGATGCACATTTCTGTTCAGGAAGTAAAATTATCTTATATAGATAGATACAACAGCTTCTTGTTATTCACATCGATGTGCACTTTGAACCAAAGGTCACCCTTTCTTTCTTTCCCTAACGTCTGTCACTAGCATTTTAGCATGACTCCGCCCCTCCCAAATTTTTCCTAAAAATCAATAATCAGTGTTTTTCAGAGAATCGTTGAATTGTTTGTTCTGAGCAGTATATCAATTTGTTAAATTTTAGTCTGGGAAATGCATTTTTAGTCATTCTAAAAGGCTGAATTTCAAAAATTTTCTTTCGCGTCGGACCCAACCATGGTGGGTCCTCCTATGTCACTAAACGTGATTCTCAGCCACCCCAGGTTCATTTTCGTGGCGCCGTCTTTGTTATTGCTCGGACAACTTGAGGCTCGAGTATTCTCAACGCTGTTCTTTGACACTGAGTTTACTACAACAACATTTTATATTTTACAGGCGGGGTATTTTCAAGCACTTTGCAGGACATCAACCATTGGCAGTTCCCCCGATTTTAGATCCTTTGTAACAAAGATCTAACAAGCCATTGTCTGCCTAAAATTACTAGCAATGAAAGGGTATTGGGGGAAGTTGGGAGCCTCCATTCCTAATGACGAAAAAAGTTACCAATTTACTTTTTCCTTTATTTGTAAAAGACATTTTTGGCAAGAGGTCCCCTTGCTGCTTTAAGGCAATGCACCTCTATCAGCTATGAAATAACAAAACCTCAATACACGAACCTCGACAGCTTTGGCAGGAGAAAACGCATTGTAAGGCGGCACTATTTCACTTGCATTTTCGTCGGGCGAGACACTTGGTTCGATCACAGTGAACTTGTCGATTGACGTTCCATTTGCTGCTTTGAGCCCAACCTCTCCAGGCTTCTCGGGATACGACAGAAGGATGGTGTACATGTGAATCTTAACTTTGTCAAAACCGTAATCTCGCCACTTCTGTGCCACGTATTCAGCCTGTTTTTTCGACCCATCGGTTCCAGCAACGTGAGGCTCTTTCGTTAGATATCTTGAAGAGGACAAAAATTGCTTTTGTTTAAAACCAACATTTTGTCATCTGTATTCAATACGCTAATTAATTTCCGGGCCTAATTTAAAAAAAAAACATTTAAAGCATATTTTCAATTTCAGATTCAGATTGAGGACCTCAGAATTGTAATTTACATGCAATTTGCCATGATGCCTGTGATATAAAATTTATGCCTTGAGGGCAAGGACATTTTAGTGAAAATCATAAGGATTTGACCATGATTGATGACTGTACGTGAAAAATTTTGCAATCAATTGGGGCAATAACGTGAACAGGCTTTCTAAATGTTAATCAATATCCAGGAACTTTTTATGCTTTCTCCGGACAATCATCATAACTTCCAGAAAATTTCCAACTTTCCCAAAAACACTAGAAACAACTTTTACTATATCGTGTTGTTGAGCTGGGCCCTAATTAGATATATTTTGGTGGTGCACAATTTAAAAGTGATGTGCCTAGACAATTTTGAAAAAACGAAAAAAAGTGACCATTAAATTGTATTTCTAAAGTTAACAAATGCTAAAACTCTATAGTTATTAGACGTTGCATCTAATAATACGCGAATTTATTAGCTTTCCTGCAAATTCATCGAAACTTAATTCATAAAATTGCATTTTCGAAAAGAGCCTGATCATGATCTATCCTGTCTCGCAGACAGGGTGTTTCGAAAACCCGAGTTCCTTGTTCATCCTGTCACAGGAAAGATCTTTTCTGGGGATTATGAAACTAATAACGATGATGACAATAGTGATAATAACACTGGTTTAATGATAAAGGTTTCAGTATCATTTTTGTATAATTATCCATCTTGATGTAGCTCATAAACAGTTCTACCCGATGCACTTCATGTTTTCTGTCGTCAAAACAAACGACGACAAAGTCCAGAATTGTTGGATTCATGAACTGAAGTAAAGCAGAAAGGCCATTGACCTGCAAAAGCAAGTACTATAATAGCAAATTTGGAATATGTTCAAAAAAAATAATGATGTTGTCGATTTTCAATGCAATTGTAGCGTGTTGCGAAAAGCGTATTACAACAGCAGAAAACGGCAACTGCCCTTATAGGTATTAGAAGAGGACGCTCAAAAGGGAAACTCAGAAAATGTAAGGAGCTTTCCCCACCACTCTAAGACCCCGTTTACAGTGCACCGGAAAAATTTCGCATCAAAATTAGTTGAGATAGGCGTCGCGTTTACACTAGACCCATGCTAACAGCACAAATTTGAGAGCGGCTATCTGAACAAAATTAGTTCACCTTGGAAAGCGGAAAAAATTAGTTCTATGAATAGCTACTTCGTCGTATTTGCTTTCCATTGTCTCCCAGTCAAGACTTTTTGTCACTTTGGCTGCCGTGTAGTCCATAAATACTTGTATTAAAGTTACAATTTCTTCCTCACTCCTAGTGGCACAGAGAGAGGGGCAGGGGGCAATTTGCCCCAGGGCCTCGGCCTGAAAGGGGCCCCAAATTATTCTGAAATTTTTTTTAATGTTTTTTTTGACAAACTGAAAATGCATTCAAAGATATATTTGTTAATATCGAAAATGATGGCAGCAATTTCATTGGGTCCGTACACTGAGTCTTGTTTGAATTTAAGGCCTATCAGCTTCATTTATTGAGTCTGGGGCCCCGAGAAAAGCTGAACAAACCTTAGATCACATATTTTACGGATTCATCTTTAAAGCTGATTTTCCCTGAGTTTCGCAAAATCGTACTTATTGGTGGAAGGGAGCCCTGATAAAAAATTAGGTAACCCATATAATCTTGTTTTAATCTATGGCCCGTTCAAGTGAGTTATGTTTGCATTCAGACTCGTTGCATAAAGCTATATTATACTTTTGGGGCCCCTTTCAGCAAACTAGCATTAATAAAGAACCGCTTACGTTCAACAATGACTCAAGACAGACTATCAAGCCTCATGACTCTTTCGATCGAGCACGAACTAGCAAGACAAATTGATTACGACAATATCATTGATCAGTTTGCAACTGAAAAAGCAAGAAAAATTAACTTTTAAAAGACGAAAGAACTGAAAAGCATAGTTCCATGGGATTTTTTAAATAAAAGTGCGTAGAATAAAAGTTTGCTTTCATTTTAAATTTTAATATTGCATGGCTCACCAGAAAAAAAGAGTCAGAATTGAAGGTACACATTTTGAAGTCCTCTTTAATCAGCTAAAAGGGTGTGGTCAAAAAGCGTACTTGAATCGTTTACCCTTAGAATTAATGTTTTTTATTACATTTTATGATATTTTAACCATATTCTATAACGTGCGCAAACGTTTGGAAATAATGGGCGTTTCCCATTTAAAAAGGGCGTGGTCTCGAAAATCTTTTGTATCCGACTCTAGGGTCCCAACTGGGACTTTGCACCAGGGCCCAGGCCGCGTCTCGGCGGCCTTGCTCACTCCACGTAAAATTGGTGTCATTGTCAGCTTTCCCTACTTTCTTTGCAATTTAAGCGTCATTTTGTTTCAGTGAAATAATTACTAAAACTAACTAGGCCTAATGTGTTTTGACAATATTGTAATACTGCTTTGTGCTTTGCCTTGCAACACATATCATGCTTCGCAGCGACCGCACCGCCACGCCTTACTTGTGTTGCTCAGCATTTTAGTTTAATGGTTGCTACCAACAAAGCTACATAGGAAGTTTATTTAGAATCTCATTTTGCTTGTTTTCTACGTTCACGTTTTTTAATTAACTCAGTAACACATTTGTATTTTCTCCGCATTATATCTTTTAATCCTACTAACTTTTTTAAATAGACCTTCGCGTATCATTTATTAGTCCCTTGAGCTATACTATTATATTGCACAATTATGTATTTAGATTTTTAAACAATTAGTTCAGTTCGTTTTATGAGAGCGCTTGTGAAAGGTTCTCCGGTAAGTCTAAAATTACGATTTACTTGTAAAAGCATTTCGTCGATATACATCTTGTTGTTCCGAGAAATTTGTCGTTGTTCTTTCGTTTGAATCTGAAAATAAGTCCTTAGACCGCTGAACATATTACAATATCCTCTGACTTCGTCTGAACGAGAAGCAGATGGTTTGGAGGAGAGAATGAAACTCTTTGTACCTTTGGCGTTTCGATGGAAATTTTTTTGCTGTTTTGTTGCCCAGAGATGAGGGTCTCCCAGGGGTTTTCGGGACCAATGAAACATGACAAAAAACGGTACAGGAATACGGGACAAATTTGATTTTTCACTGGGACCCTCATCTGGACATTTTACTAGTTTAAGGGAATACGGGAACATTTTCATTAATTTTTCAACGGAAACACAGGAACATTGATTGTTTTAATCCAAGGAAAAACAGGAACAAGTCCCCCCCCCCTTTGTTTTGGGCGTTCTGTGAACGATTTAGGTCACGTGACTGTAGTTACCCGGCAAAGTGTAAACCGAAGAGCAAAGTGGACAAAATTTGTGCGGCACAGTGGAGACGCAAATAAATTTGAACACATTTTATGCGAATAAAACCTATCCGGCACAGTGTGAACGGGGTCCAAAAATTTTTTGCCACTGTGGATAGGTGCCTGATGTAGGCATCCGTATCAAGAGATTTTTCAAAACAGACCTTTGTAACCAATGAGGTGTGAATCAAATAAAGTGGAGCAAGCAAACCGTTCCTTTTGCACAAAAACAATTACTTCCGTCCGTCATGGCTTTCAGCCTTCCTGTTTCGATGTTTCCATCCCGACTTCCAAGCTCCATACAATTCAATGGTAAACAACGCAACTACAAGATACATGTAAGTTAGCTAAATAAAATACAACTAGTAACTTGGGACCAGGGCTGTCAATATTGGTGTCCGAGGGTGTGGTGTGACACCCCCTTGAAACTTTCTTCAAACGCAATGTGTTTCAAATCTAGTGATATAATTGTAGTGCGATGTTTTGAAATGTTATAAGTAACAAATTGAAAACAATGCTTTTGGAGTTAATCACGCAAACTTTGGAGTCGCCATTAATGTTGTATATTTTTTTGCTTAAACGTAACAAGGGAAATCACAACACCGCTTCTTATCAGCATCCCCTTTTTTGAAAAATAGTTCGGTTGTTCTTTACATTCTGGAAAATATGAACCAGAACATTTCTGTACCCAGACCGGTTCACACGATAAATCCCGCCATTTGTTTCGGTTCCCTATTGTTTAAGTGCTTTGGTACGTTTTTGCATAACCAAAATTGTCATGCGTTTGTGTACCCGGACCGTTTTGCATAAGGTTACCGAAACCCATATGACACCGGCATGATGGGCATGTAAATCCGGACACAGGAAAAACTCCAATATAGTACAAAAATCGATGTAATTTATGCTCTCAGCATATTGCGTTGTCTTTTATAAGAGAAGCAACTGTATCTAATTGAAAGAGGGGTTGCAGCATTCAAAGTTATCAATATCAATGCCGATAACTATCAATGCATCGATGTATGTTTCAAGTTTGAAACTGATCTGCAATTCTTGTTCTGCCTCTCCTGAACAGCAGGGCCGTCGCGAGGCAAGCCTTGTTGGGGGGGGGGGGGCAAATTTACCTGATTAAAAAATAATTACCTGAAATTCTTAAGTTGCTGTCACAAACCTCTGCAATACATCTTGTCAATCTAACTGTGTGGCATAAAATTCACAACATTCATTTTAAAATGATAATAACGGACTTTCCTAATAGTTTTGCCAAATCTGTATACCTGGACGGACAACTACCCGGACGGACAACTACCCGGACGGCACCATGGTTGCCACTGAAGGAGCAGAAAATTTTCGAACTTTGATGCTTCCAATTCCCTGGAAAATGCACTCTTTTCAGTACATTTTACTAAAGCAATCCTCACAATCCTATCGAAAATTCTTTTATTTTTGCAAACAAATGAAACAGCAGATAAAAACAACTGGTACAATTTCGCAGTGGTCTTGAACAAAATTCCATATTGTCAGTTACTTCTAAAGCTAGGCAACAAGCAGCACTGGTTGCCAATCAAGATCCCTCTTTTCAGGCCTTTTTAGGGGAAATGGACACAAGGCACAATTTTACCTAAAGAGGGCCTGGATTTTTAGGTTTTGTGCCAACAAGTAATCTTCAAATCTTCAAATCATTAGTTTGTTTATCTTCCTTCCTATCAAGAAATATTATATTTAGCCAAAAGAGCAACTACCTTTGCTTGATCTTTTATTGATGTTAAGACATGAAGGTCGCTGAAATGCCTAAAGCGTTTCTTCCACTGGGCAGATTTAACCTTAAATTGTTTTAAATAGATTAAACCTATCGAAACCCAACCCCCCCCCCCCAATCCCCCGGTCGCGATGCCCCTCCTGAACAGGTACTTTCTGCCTTTTTTGGTCGTTCAAAGTTCTTACACATTATGCTGTAAATGCTTGTCATTCACAATCAAGAACAGAAAGCCACCTGTAACAATCATCACCTGTGTGTGACAAGTTAGAACAAAGTTTGATAATAATAAAATCGCCGCTAATTTACGAAGATAACGAGTATCAAAATCTCAAACATTCAAACTCACTTCAAATAATCTCTAATGTTTCCAGCTTTCATTTCATCCAATATTGATGCATGTTTAGCAAACCGCTTCATTTCTTCATTCTTCGGATCTTGAGAGGTCTGAGGCTGGGCCTTTGCAGTTTTCTCTTCATCTTTGCATCCTGCAGCAGCATAAATTCCAACTCCGATTAGAGCGCCGATAATAAGAGCTACAACACATAAAACGATGATTATTACACGATTCCTCCCTCCAAAATTATCGCTCGTCGACATCTTGGTGTCAGGCAATATCTATTCTGTGGTAAGGTTTTAGTTAGCGGAAGTAATGTTACCACGATGTAATGCAAACGGTCAATAAAAACCAACGCTTTTGCGCGCCAGGAGATACGAAAGGTTCAGATAAACAACACGGGGGTCGCCTTTAAGGGAAGGGGTGATCAATTCAAATAAATTCAATTATAATAAATTCAAGCTTTTAATTACAGGCTATTGATGGATTCAAATTGACGTCATCATTTTTGTATCTCGCTATCTACGGATCTTTTTCGAAAATGGACTGCAGAATTGAAATCTTCATCTTTGAATTAGTTTATACTGAAAAATTCATGTTGTTTGGACCGTTCGGTTGCATGTTACTTTGTTTCGAATATTTAGATATTTCTTTAGAGTTGACCGGAATTTGCTGCTGCAGTGAAGAAAATTCACTACAGCAAGAAATTCCATTGAAATGTATAGGAAAAGCTAAATTTGGAAAATGGGGTAATTCGCAGCCTGACGGCCCAAACAATATGAAATTTTTATCACAGACTAATTTCAACATGAAGGTTCTAATTCTGTTATCCATTTTTGCCAAATGTGAAGATACAAATTGCTCGAATCCGAGAATATGATTAAACATACTTACAATTTATAAAGCTTCTCTCAAAAAGTTCCTTTCTCTCATTAAAAAAATATATGCATGTCTTTCAAGATTGCCAAAACTATCTATTTTAAAAATTACGAGCCTGCATTTGCGAAATTTTTGAGCAATGAAATCTTCAAAGTTTATAATAAAGCCTGATTGGGAAAACATTATTTACACATTTTTCTCTATTTCTGGACCAACTTTATCCTACAGCTTTCAAAATACCTATTGAAAGCCATTTAAAGTAGTCAGTACCAAAAAACCTATTATAACCTCACTGTCATGGCTCGAAAACCTTTTTGGTTCTCTCAGTGTCCTGGGCAACCAGTGGCGGTTTTAAGGGGGGTCCAGGGGGTCCAGGGGGCCATGGCCCCAGGCCCCGCCTATATGATAGCCAAAAGGGACCCCACACCTAGGAAAAAAGATGGAAATTGTAAAGAACAAGGGCCCCGCATATGTTTTCGGCCCCGGGCCCCGCAGTCCCTAAAACTGCCACTGTGGTCAACTCTTACAAAATTTATTACAGCTTATTGACCTTTTGTATATATCAATCTTTAATCTTGTATCTTTGATTAATACTTTTTGGTTGACATGTATTCGATAAACTGTAAATGTGTTGCTGAATTTAATGAATTTGAATTTGAACTTTGAATCAACATTGGCCATCACTGCGTAGGCTCGAGCCTCCTGTGAATTTTTATTCAAATTTGTCAGATTCATTCTCATTCAACAACATGATTGACAAGTATGTAGTGACCATTGTCATACCGTAAAATGTCTTCTATTGTATAATTGTCAATAACACCTTTGATTGTCTCCGTAACCACAGTAACGTAATCAACAAGACTTTTGTAGCGTCCCCCCAGTTTTGTAATTAGTTCAGTTCAGTTCAAAACAAGTCACGCAATAGTCACATCGTCTCCTCTCTGGCTCCGTGTTCTCTGCACGTAAAAAAAACTCGCTGGGTTTGGAAATGACACGTTAGTCAAGGATGGATTTATTTAGTGCTTACATTGATCGCCGTTCCGATGTACACTGAAAGTATATAACTAGTAAAATAGTTAAAAACAATTTTTAATATAAAGTACAGTATTTATTCATTGTATAGTACATGGATCAGTACACTCTTTTTTTATAAGAACAATTTTATAAGAACATGAGCCTCAAAACTGGTCAAAAGTTAAGAACAAATTAAGAACAAGCTGAGGCTGTGCTTCTGCAAAATGCAATTTTGAACAACGTTTTTTCTCAAAATCGAGGATTTTTAGCGATGTGTGGGTGCTTTTTCGATGAATTTTCAAATTTGTCAGCAAATTAAGGCTGTCTCACTCATTTTGTTTGCAAATGAGGCCTGAACACCTCCTTAGAGCGAAAAAGCTAGCAATAGCACTGCTTACACCCTCTTAATTTAAGAACAAATTAAGAACAATCAAGCCTCAGATTTTCGAAAAAATTAAGAACAGTCAGCCTGAACTTAAATTTACTGGTTCTTATAAAAAAGAGTGTATGCTGTCTACGACACTGAGAGAAATTATGAGGGTTTTCGAGTCAAGTGCCCTAATCTAGATTAAAATACATATCGATATATACAATTATTGATCAAAAATCTAATCAGAATTTGAAAAGTAATTTTAAATACAATTAATGCAGTAAAACAGTAAAAAGTAGCAAAAGTTGGGGTTTGGCATATCATAGTCCAGAATGCCTTAGGCCAGAGGTGGGTAATTTACGGTCCGCGGGCCAGAATCCAGCCGGGGAAAAAAATTTTTGTGGCCCGCAAGATGAAAAATATGTTATATTTAGATTTTTGGGTTTGCAAGGACGTTTTTCCGTGGGGTCGCAAACATTGAATGAAACACATCGATTCAACATTAGATTATCTAAGAATCTAATTAGATCATCAAACTAATCTACACTCTTTTTTTTATAAGAACAATTTTATAAGAACATGAGCCTCAAAACTGGTTAAATAAAACGTTGTTCAAAATTGCATTTTACAGTAGCTGAGCCTCAGCTTGTTCTTAATTTGTTCTCAACTTTTGACCAATTTTGAGGCTCGTGTTCTTAGAAAATTCTTCTTATAACAAAAAAGTTTAGTTGATGCTATAACATTTCATCTAATGAATGCTGCCCCCTGATAAACACCGCCTTCTTTTAAACACCTCACTTTCAGCTAAACATTTGTAATAAAAGCTGCAGACAAAAGTTTGACTGAGTAAGATAGGATCTGGACCCACGTATGACAAAAGCCCCCACTGTACTATTTAGCATTAGACACCAGGCTGCTGTTTCTTTTCTCTTGAATTTGTAATATTGATATTAAATTTGGTAGAAATCTGCAGTTTAATAAACTCGCAATGATAGGGTGCAGACCAAAGTTGCCATACTTTCATACTTTTTCTTTTAATGGTAATTTGAAATTTGGTACTAATTTGAAAATAACCTGAATTTTTTTTACTAGATTATTGTCGACAAAAATAGGTTGTCAGGATGAAATTCCTACCCTTGGCTAGAAAAGAAGTCCACAAAATTATACCCTTGCTCACGGCACAGCCCCACGTACATTTACCATGAAAAAACCTCCCCCATACCCCTGTTAAAATTTGAAATTTCGGTGGAGAAAAAAACGGTAGAGAAGAGCAGTTGTATACGCATAAAAAATAGGATACAAAGCTAAAGACAGGGGTATTAGGTAGGTTACAGGTCCCAAAGAAATTTGTTGTCATACATTCCCTTTAAGTTTAGATAAACACTAAATTTGGTAGAGAAGGGCAATTTCATACGCTAAGATAGCTTGATCCAGCGTTAAAACTGCCCCTTGTCCTGTTTACCCCTCCATTTCGTTCCGTGTGTACATGCCCGGAATTGTCAACAAAAGTCTGAGACGTCGAGGTTCGGCAGGAAGATAGCATTCATTAATAATATGGCTTCTTACTCTGGTAATAACAGTGAAGTAAAAACAGGGGAACGTTGGAGATGATGTATTTGCTGCACTGCCATCAGATACATCATCCTCTTTGGAAAAGCGGTGGTCCTCTCATACGGTTGAGGGGAATCTTGTGAAATCAGATGATTACCTTTGTTTTGCTAAACTTGATTCTTGGGATCAACTAAACAAATTCGGATCATACAGTGGTAATTTTCCTATAGGCACACGGTACTGACTGAACAACTATACCGGTCATGTGCTCATGTTTTTCAGATTCCTTACATCTTTTTCTGATATTTTCCATCTTGTTCTTTCGGAACCTTATTCTGACGTTTTATACTCTGAGGAGTGTCAGGCGAAAAAACTTTAAGCATGTTGAAAAATTTTTGCTTTTTTTTCAAAGCTATTTTTAAATTTTGTACCGCCAAAACTGTCACAATCATACATCACGAAAACTAGCAGTACAAATTTTGAATTTTAAGGGCCTCCTGGAGTCCTACTTGCCTCTTGGAGTCTTAGGTGCATTCGATGACAAGAAATGACGCTAAAAATCACCTGGAGTTGGCAATACACCATTTCACAAAACAACTGCGAGTTTGTTTCAGGCAGGGAGAAAATACACAGAAAACACCATAAAGTGTTTGTGTTTGATATGTTGTTAAAAGTTTATGGCGAATGCAGGGCCGTCGCTAGACATTGTGCTCAAGGAGGTGCTCCGAGCCCTTTTGCGAACAAACTGGGTAAGCCGGCGAAGCACCCCTTTATGGCAAAAAACTTCTCGTTAACTTTTTCCCAAGGGGCTTAACAAACCCCCCACACGACCGTCCTGGGTGTATGTTATCAATTTGAGATTCAGAGGAGAAGACTACATCTCCGTCCCAATAAGATTTGACTTCACAAATGAAGCTACTTACGTTCAGCAATTAGATTTGAAGATTTGAAGGCGTTCACATTACATAGGACAGAAGGCCGGTGAGCGCGTAGGTCGGTGGGCTTGTGGGTTCGAGTGCCAATAGGCCAGCAGGACGGTGGGCCAGCAGGACGGTGGGCCAGCAGGACGGTGGGCCAGCAGGACGGTGGGCCAGCAGGACGGTGGGCCAGCAGGACGGTGGGCCAGCAGGACGGTGGGCCAGCAGGACGGTGGGCCAGCAGGACGGTGGGCCAGCAGGACGGTGGGCAAGTGGTGAAGTATGTCGATGTGATAGTAGGCCGGTTGGTTTGTAGGCCAGTCTATCTCAGCTTCAAATATTAAGAAAAAGCAAAACATCGGTCAAAAATGTAACACATGACCTAGGAGGAGCAGAATTTAGTAGAAAGGAATATTTTTGGAAAGAATAATTCCGAGGCCAGATTCTTATCATTATGACTATGGCATTCTATCTTTTGATGATTATATATCCAAACAGGCCTTTGGTACGACAAAATTTTAAAATAGTACGAAAAAGCGCAAATATATCATCAAGATAAAATATTAGTTTTTTTGATATCATACTAAAGTACTTTTCATCAGATACTCCATAGAGTATAAACGTTGCATAATGTCTGAAGGTAAGTAAAAAGTTAATATCCAAATGCGGATCCATCGAAAGTTGGGGTGAGAAAAGAAAAGTGCGTTTGATTGGTTCTTAGTTTCTGACCAATCGCAACCGCATCTCGCCTAGTTAGAGAGTCCAAGTGAGAAAACGAACTCTTTCTGTCCACAAAAGCCGGGATCCTCTGTTTCGATGTAGACAGATTCCAAAACGCCAGGTTGAAAGACGACCTTGCTAGCCCAATGAATTTAAAATTATCGTCAAGTTTCGGCGTAAACTGGATTCTTAAGTAAATGTTGACCAATAGCCGAATCATAATCCATATTGAGGATTTTGATTTTTTTAAAAAACGCCATGGTTGTTCTGATTCTGGAACCATCTAATATGCATAGGGAATTTTGCAAGTGATAAAAGCTTTTCTCGCTAACAAACAGACGCTTAATACGAAACATTGGATGGAAAATACAAGGGCTAGGAGAATATCAGGGAAAAATTCCTTTGAACTTAAGCAAATTTCCTTATAATTACAGCGAGCCTTCTTCGATTATTATTTTAACCGTTTTTGTATTCTATAAAGAAATTCGTTAACATGACTGTTGTTGCCAAACGACGGGAAAGAGCCAGATGGTTCTGCGTCAATGTTTATCATCTGGTTAGTACGTACAATAGACTCACAATCCTCGTTAAATAGTAGTGATGTTGGTACAAGCTAGGAAGAACCGATTTCAAACAAACAGTTTCTAATAGAGTGTCATCAGTTTTTAATAATAGAGTAAATGATTATTTTTTAAATTGCACTGCAATATAAACAGACTTGTGTTTAGACACCAAGATAAGGCGGTTTATGCTCTGCACCTGCACAGATATCGGCTGTAAATGGCGAGATGCGGTCAACTATGAACCTAGACATGCCGTTTATTGTTGTAATACTGATGTTCGTGCAAAGAATCTTGGCATATGGTAAGCTATCAGAATTCAGTTTCTGTTTTCACATTAGAGAAACAGGGTCCGTTAAAAGTAGTAAGTCCTAAAAGAAAGGAAAAATGCCTTGTCGTTGACATGATATCAAGTTGTCATTTTGATGTGAGCTTTTTTCGTGTGTCCTTCAGCATTGTAAATTACCAATTAATTTTCTGATCTTACTTATTGTTCTAAATTAAATTTCTTGTAATTGTATTTTAGATCAGTTTATTGTAATTAACTTGTTTGCTTGCTGAAAAAGATTCTGATTTTAAGTTTCATGTGGAATAATGATAAAATGAAACTCAGTGCTGCAAATAGCTCTGTATATGATGTTTCTAACCTAGCTTCCACCCATGGCGACTTTAGGCTGTTGGGGAGGGGGAGGGGGCGACAAAATGTTTAGACCACGCCCTTTTATATCAACAAGGAACGCCAATTTTACCTGAAGGGAGCGCCCGTGACTAGCTCTGGGTTACGCAATGGCAATCACAGGACCATATCACAAAAAGTGTGTTGCCAAAATATTACCCCTCCACAACATTTTCTCATCGAATTTAGAAACATTTTCAAAGGTGAAACATTTGTTATGTCTGTAATGAAAAGCGTAATTTCCCAGCAACTGATCTAGGCATTAGTTTTGCTGATACTCAAAGGATTGCATAGAACTGTTTCCGTTCTAGATGAGGAGCAGAATGTGTGCAGGTCATTGCAAACGCAGGAAGAGAAGCTCATTGCACATCTCTTTGGTTGTAATCGAAACTTCAGCAGAATTTTCCCAAAGCTGAATAATTTAGAAGAAGACAGGATGAAGATTCAACTCAAAATTACAGTCAGAAACATAGAGGAAATTGTAAGGCTTCTATAAATTCATAAGTTCGTGGATGCTTTTATGGGCGTAGGGGATGCTAAACGTTTAGGGGGCCTAGCAAGGATCTTAACTGAATATTATCGTTTTATTGAGATCGAGCTGCCCGAATGAAGCCTGAAATGATATAAATTTACCTGATTATTTGCAGCCCTCCAGTCCCTATGTCCCCTACGCCTGTGGCTGCTTTAAGTAAAATTTCGTCAAATAAAAACCTTTTTTTTCTATGACGTGAGGGATTGATATATTTCGAATTTTTTTTATTTGAATTTCAGACCCTTGACTCTCGCCAATTGCCCTGACCGTTTTAATTTTACTCAAATAAGATTTATTGTAATAGAATAGCCCTGACTAAAGCAGCAGGGGCAACTTATGCACCAGCAAGTAATTATTTTGTTATCCGCATTAACGAGGCAAATTTTCGAATAATGCCATTCTAGAATGCAAGTGACAATGAAGCCACTATGATGCTGCGTTTCGACACAGTAAGTTGGCATTACCCTTTTTTTGATCTTTATTTGTCATGAGTGGTAAGTTCACAAATTTATGAGCATCGTAGCCATTTCTCCAACAAAATGAAATTGCAACAAGTTTTACATGATTTTATAAAATAAGAGTCTTCAGTGTTTTACCAATATTGAAGGAACAAAACAAGAACTACAAGAATTACTAAATGAATGAATAAAGAAACGAACGAGCACAAGACCGAATGAATGAATGAATGAATGAATGAATGAATGAATGAATGAATGAATGAATGAATGAATGAATGAATGAGTGACCGAGGGAACAAACAAGCGAGTGTAGGAACTAATGATCATCAATTTCATAATGACCTTAGAATAAGAGGGTTCTTTTGAAGAAAATCGGCTTTAAGGCAAAAATTGCTAGTGTTATGCATTGTCTCGTAAAGCATCTAGTTCAAGTGTACTAGCATGACCATAAACGTCCGTACATGTAAAATAAGAAATGGTTTTACCTAAAAATATACCTGCTTCACCGCACTTTATCCAGCAATCGTCTCGGCAATCTCCAATTTTCCAAGTGACGTCATACTTGTAAAAGTTGATTATCGTTAATATTCTCTGTCAGGAATGGCAAAGCAGCTTACTGAATTGGAATGCAAGCAAATTTGGTATTTCAAGACTGACAGTGGACGCCTCCAGTGTTTGGACACCTAAATTTGAATTAGATAAAAAGTATGTTCTTTGATGATTTTTCGTTACGATGTTACGCTCTTTAAAGTGGACTCTCCACCAGCTGTTACCTGAGGTTTTGACTTCTTGCTCTTGGCTTTTTTTAGGAAACAGGGACTTCAGTTTATTTTTGTTCTTGCTGTTTCTTTATTGTATATTTCTGGGAAAGAGTACGTATACGTGCAATGTGTGGGGTAGGATGGGGGGAAGGATAATAATTAGGAAATATTAGAGGACTGACAATTTAAAAGAGATGTTAAAAGACTCTCCAGGAACCATTTTTAAATACATCACCCATCTTTAAAAAAATGATTCAACATCTCAGAAGTGATAAGTAATTGCCTCAACTTTTTCTAACTTTATCCTTCGATATTGCATATTCGTTCTTATTTTCAGTCTCGATATGATTGGCATTGAAGCAAATGCGGCTGATACAGTTTACCTCACTAGCCTTGGGAGGCACAGTTTGACGTTCTACAGGAAAGTGAGGCTGGCGTGCGAAGATAAGGCGTGTTTGTTTCCGATGGATGAGTACAACTGCAGCTTTACAATCTTCCTGAAACGCTTAAATGCAAGTATGGTAGACTTTGTTGCAATAAATAAAAGTGCCAACAAAATCTCTGATAAAAAGCCCGAAACATATGGTACATGGGACTTAAAATCATTTGGTAAGTTTTTTAATCGATCCAAGTTAAAGATATATATAAATAGAAGAAATATAAAGACATCTTTAATTCTAATACCACAATCGTTTATTCGACCTCTCCAAATGGTGAAGATTTTCTGAATGTCGATAAAAGATCAATTGTCTCAATTTTCCCAAAACATTATTTCTAACAGTAAATATCTACCTCCTTAGAGGCAATATCTTTCCAATTAAACAAGTCAGAAAGAATATTGAAATTAGTAAGATATTTAACTTACATTAGTTACATTTTCTGATAAAAATACTGTCTTTGCAAATCTTCATAGCCTCCTTTTTTAATCTACGAGAAAAACCTTGAGTTCAATTCTTCTAGCAAACTACATTTTCTAAAGAAACAGGTCTTGAGTTTTGACTCTCTACTTCAAAGTCTAAAGAAAAGTTTCAGCTATTTTTAAGTTAGACAATGCCAGAAAAGTAACATCGCTATGATACAAACATCTTAACCACAATTATACAAATAGCCATACAGACAGTAAACTACATAACGTGTACCTTTTCTGCAGAATTCAATGGCAGCAAGCTGTTTTCTGATGAACAAGGTTGGCCTGTTCTCAGAGGTCTACGTTTTGAAGCAAATGTCAAAAGACGACATGGTTTCTTTTTAATCACGGTACTTTTCCCAATGACTCTTCTTGGCATTCTGTCAATGTGCTCGGTTTTTCTTCCTGCTACAACTGGTGATCGAATTGCTCTGTTGCTGTCCTGCTTGCTAAGCATAATGATCTCACTAGAAACGACTTTCAAGCACGTGCCAAACAATTCGGATAGGTTTCCAATCTTGGTATTCTTGATTATAATTATCCTGCTCAATACAGTATTGCAAATAATCTTAGCTGGAATATGCCTTAACTGGGCTAACAAGAATGAGAATAAAAAGAAACCAGGCAAGAGGCTGATCTTCGTTGTTTTCTATATTTTGAGAATAGTCTTTCTCGCTATTCCATGGCTTTGGAAAAAGATAAAGCATTGTATGGAATCACGACGAAAAAGGAAAATCAACGATGGCCTGGAAGAAGATCCTTCAATGACAATAAGCAAGCCGAAGGAAGAATCAAATCAGAAAGCTGAAAATTCAAAAGAGGAAAATAAAGAAGAAGATGAAGAGAAAAGCTACAAGTCTGCAATCAAGATCGTTGACCGTTTAGCCATGTCTCTGGCTATTTGTAATCTGGCAGTATTAATTCTTACTGCTATAACAATCTACTCTTCTAAACAGGCAGGCCAAGTCTGCTCAATTTTCAATGAATATGTGACCCCATTCTTAACACTTTCATCAAAATAGCACATCTTCATTTTAAGAATTTACCTGTAGCCTTCATTCAACCCACTACTAAAAAGGGTCGGTGCTCATTCCGGGGAACTCCTTCACGATAGAGGGATTAATTTGTGATATACGATATATAAGCATTGAAATTCCATCGACACTAAAGTAATTCGATGTAATAAAATATGAGCCAATGAACAATGTCAGCTTATAATGAAAAGCTACAAAAACTAACCTACAAATAAAGTATCACATTTGCATTGGGGAACTGAGACAAAGTCCCCCACCGTAGGGATATTCTAGCATAATCTATTAGAAGTTTTCTAAAAGCAAGAATGCTTCTACAATTATCCTGATGGTGAAATCGAATTCAATTGATCAGTCGTAATTTCCTCCATTAGCAACGTAATTTCCTCTACACTATAAAACATAATAAATTTGCTGTAATTACGAGTAACTACATCAGATATATATCCATTTTGGCTCCCAGTTGTCCTCGTCTTCTTCTCGCGATCTCTTTGCTGGCAACGGAAAACTTGGTGAGTTTCCAACATTGATCCTTTTCCTGCCATACTTCTCGTTAATGACACGGTTCTGCCTCTCTTGCACCTCAAAATGATCTATTTACAGTAAATATGTCTGTGTAAGTTGGTTACGTAGCCTCTTCATTGGAAGTAAATAGCAACCAAAATATTTTTATAAGTTTTTATAAAAAGGTGTAACTACTAATCTATACTCTTGAAGCTTCCAATTCCCCTTTTGCCGATGAAATAAAGAAAACCAAGCTTAAGAACTTTACATAGATTTTGGTACTTTAGGATTGCGCCGAGTCTCTCAATTGAAATGTAAAAACAAAATCTGCATACTTACTGGATTCCAAGGCATTGAGAGCAGCGGCAGACTCAGCAGCACGAATGCTGAGGAGAGAATAAGACAAAAATTAAACATCGAACCAAGGCGAAGAAAAGAAGCTGTGCAGCTACAAAACTTGCTTGAAATACTATCAAAAGGGACCAAAATACCAAATCGACACAAAAATCAGGCCTAATTTGTTAACTTGTTATCATTACTATTGTCATCAAGAGAATCTAGACTTTTGTATCAATTCTATCGATACAAATGACCAAACTCGTACAATGATTAATCATGATTAATCACAAACAGAAAATAATTAATCGTACAGGTTAACGGTACCTTGTAGTTGAATGCAGTTACATTTTTTATATAAATATGATCCATCATAATACTATAATTACACAGTTTCTGAAATGATAAAAAATGTAGGAGAGCCGTTTGATTCCATGGTTCCACGTTTTTTGACAGAAGGCATAGTAGGTACATCACAAGGTAACGTTTGAGAGCTTTTAAATAGCATAATTTTATCCTCGAATAAATTCTTACACATTTTTCTTTGAATATCAAATACACTGACAGAGAGGTTTTAAAATAAACACAATTTGACATGCACGAAATAGGTCACTGAAATGAAAACTGAAATCAGCTCCGTTCGGATAGAATGGTCTAAAAGGCAAAACCGTATAGCAAGGAAACTGATTTTTTAGAGGTAAATCGTGATGTGGATTGCACTTATTAGGAGTCCTTGTCGTTGGCTTATGCTTTTACTCTTATCAGAAACAAATCGTTACACCCCATCCAATATTATAATCATTTTTCCAAACTTATACCAAAAATATATTCCACTACTTTAAGGCAAGTTTTAATTGGCTGTTTTTGTAACAATATTCTTTTCCTTTTAACATTTGACTTCTAATGTTTCTTAAGTTAAACCTAACACTTAAAAAAATAGCGACCATAATTTATAATAATTGTCAATGTAATATAATAATTATTTTTGATTACCAATTCTATTTGTAGATTATAGTTCCGAAAATGCATGATTTCCAACAATAAAGTTTGAAAAATTTTAAAAAAGTATAAAAAGACAGTCAAAAGACAAAATCCTTGCAGCAATTCTTGAACTCTAATATTGGTGTTTCATTGTTAAGTTTGTTGAGAAGTTTATCGGATATTTAAAAAGAAACAAAATTAACTGAATTGAATATATAAAATAAAAAATCTGAAAGATAAGCTTGAATCTTGAAAAAACTATGCATCTGTTCATAGAGCTGTCCCAAACGATGCAGCCTGTAATTGAATATTTTTGAGGAACACTCATAAAGGTTGCGTCAAAATAAGGCAAGACTGCCGCCATGACAATTGTCAAACGAAAAAGCTTCTTTTATTGATCTTATTTGTCATTCGGTCAATTTCCTAAATCCATAACTCGGGCTTAATGAGCCGAAAAACACAAAAAGTCAAGAAAACATTATTGCTAAATTGTGTGTTTAAAAAACAAACCTTGTGGGCATAACTGTTAAATTTGTTTAAATATGCATGAACGAAAACTTAAGCAATTAACGTACAGCTAAAATCAACTTCTCTAGCCAAGACAGCTGTTGAAAACATTACTTAATAAATCTGCATTATTTGACATTGCCGCTTAGAACTATAATTATAATCCTAATTAGCATAGCAACTGACATTTCAAGTTTTTCTCAAGTAATTATCATGCAAATAAAGGATTGACTTTCGCCAGCCTTCACCAGAGACCGTAATCGTATTCACAAGGTTCTAAAAATTTACTTACGTCTTCCCAATACCCACTCCCAGCTGATCGTTTCTGAAATAAACTGCGGCTACAATGAAAACAGAATTTCAAATGAAATTAAACGGACTGTGAATGTACACTATTCAAGAATGAAAACTATATAGAAACAACAATTTAGTCTTTTACAAAAGTTAAAATAGCTTCATTATTCAGCATCATATTTTTAAATGAAACTTTGAAATTCACCCTTTATTATCAATTTGCATTTTAACCATGTCGGTTTGTTGTAATATCTAATTTCTAGTGTATAAGCCTTGATAAAACAAGACGTTTCTTAAAGGCCTACCCTTGAATGTCCGATGGGGAAGAGGCCCAGAAACTTCCAAGATCCTAAAATATACAAGTGGGAAATGAGGAATATCTCTTAAGACATGAAATACTTGAGAAATATCAATCTAAACTATCTAATTATAATTCTATAAGTCATATCTATTTCTTGAGAAAGTGTAGAAATTGACTCTTGGTTTAGAGATTTTGTGGACTGGACAGAGACCAGCTCTATGTACAAATGACGACAAGCGCTCTCGTCTCATGTTTTATTAGGCAAAACAATATTGCTAACTTTCAATGCCCCTTTCTTCATATTAATCTTGGCAAGTTAACATTTTTACAAAGCAAAGAATCAAGTTAAATTGGTATTGATTGCTGAGAAAGATTCGTAGATAGACAATACTTTTTGAGAATCTACTTTTGAGTTTTAACCAGCGAAACATGCAGTATACGGATAAAAATCAGTCAAAGTCGATGAAATGGCATAATAAAAACCTTTTTTGCTACTTTAGTTTTGCAGGTAGAGAGAAGGAGATCAATCTTAAGCTTTATCCACCTTTAGTAAGCTAGCCTAGGCCAGCTTACTAACTGTGACTTAGTTTGGCCCAGGCTTGTGAGGAAGCAAAGAGCCTTGGCCCAACCTTGGTTAGATTTGGGCAGGTACTGATGTGGGCTGAGCCCTAGTTTAATGCACTGCGGAAGAAAACGAGTCAGACTTTGATTTGATTCAATTCCGGTGCGTAAACCAGGAATGTGACGCCATTATTGTATTCGAAAGAAGCGGGAAAACTGAACGATCAAAGTTATCTTTTATTTGGCTTGTTCAGGATGGTACAATTTCGCAACAGTAGATGCACATCTTGCTAACACAACTAAGATCTTTCAAAACGAGGCTCTATGAGTGCTCTCTTCGATTAAATTCTGCTTGGCTGAGGGAAGCTTCAAAACAAGAAAGCACCTATTCAACCAGATTGTCAGAGTTCTTTCTTAGGAAAAGATCACCGTTAATCTTAAAGATATAGTACTACAGTTGAAACTCAATCGAGGCTGAATTCCATACATTCGTTTTTAGAGTTTAGACAAAACTGGAACTCGGCCTGGACTTTTTCATCTACTAGTTTTATAGTTGAGCAGAGTTGCAGGATCTACCCACGCGTTCCAGCGTTTACGAAAGCGGGCGCGTTTCTTTTCATTGAAATTCGTTATCTCAATCATTTATTGAAAAAAGGCATAACAGAACAAATAGCAAGACCCAAGAAGAGAAGATAGCGCATTATAATCTTAAAAACATACTTGTAATTTGGGTTTTCAAGCTTGTTATTCTCTGATCGCAAATAGGCACAGCAGTTCTGGAGTTTCGATTTTGGATCCAGCCAGTCGTGATTTATTATAAAGCTCTTGAAAAAAGTAAACACCAAAATTAACATCAAGAAATCATTTTATTAAAACTACTATATTACTTTAATGCCAAATACATCGATGAAAACAAAAGTTTACCATGTTAGATTAAAATACGGAAAAATGCATCTTACAAAGATTGTGGATGAAGAAATAAACAACATTATCAAAATGTTAAAACTTTCATCTCAAAAAAATTCATCCATGTCTAATCTTGACAAAGGGATGTATTTACCTCAAGCTTTCCAAAAAGAGTAACTTCGCATATTTTCTTACAATATTCAATCCCTTTGTCCACAAAAACTGCTCCAATAAATGCTACAAAAGATTGACTTAAAATCCCTATCAAATCTTACAACAATTGAAGGCACAATTGAAGGAAATAACCCAGTTATCAAAATACACCCCATTATACTTTAAAGGTTTACTGAAAAAAAGATACCGAAAATGTTAAAGGTTTACCGAAAATGTAGGATTTGGAGGTGGAAAGATTGCTTTCTAATGCGTAATAGCTGGTGGCATAATTTGCAATGCTGCATTGGGTTTTCTGCTTAAAAAGTTTCTTGCCAAAGAAAAAAACAAACAAAATATACATTTTTTACAATGGGAGGGAGGCGGTCCTTCTTGATATTCAATATGAGAGCATCTAAAAAGATTCAGGCGTACAGTTTTAAAGACTTCAATACAATTAAATGAATCGTAAAAGACCTGCTTTACATTTACATACATTTGTCAACTCGCAAGAAATTTGCTTTCAATTGCAAAGAGTGTAATGCCTAGAGAATCCTAACGATTGTTTAGATGCCTAAAAATCTCAAGGGTCATCGACTAAAGTTTACACCCTCCCTGCCGAGATTATAACATGACCTACTTAGTATAAAAGCAATCGGATCTCATAGACAAAGGGAACAACTTTCTTCTTGTCTGTTCTCATGTCACACTACTGCATAATAAATTCAAATTGATTTACTTGTTCAAAGAACCTACTTGCAACACACACTTCAATTTGTAACAAACATGCAGCGAAGTCCGCACACACACAACAGTTTGACAGCCGAGGTTCGCACGCAAAAATGTGAGCATACACGCACAAAAATTAATTTTTCCTGATACACACACATATTTGTTAATGTGCTTTAGCAAAATTTACAACTTGGAAGCACAAAAATTTATATTCGCATACATATATTTATATTCGTATTTAAATTTTTGAATGTGCATTCACATTTTTTAAAACTGCATGCACAAAAATTAACCATTTTTGCCGCAATGGCGCCATAGTATGTGTGCAATTATTTCAGATCGAAATTTGCAGTTCGTGACGCAACTGAGAAACCAAAATTCGACTTTTCAATAAAACTGTAAACCAAAAGACAGTATTACTAACAAGTTTTAAACCTGAAAACGTACCTTCAAACATATTTGCAAAGATTTTCCAGCTGTAGGTTTCCTTAGAGAATAACAAACAACTAATCACTGGTCAGTTTATTCGTTCTAAGTCTGATCATTGAAAAGATTGCATTCGGATTTTGGTAAGATTACGACATAATTTAGGATATAAGAAATATGGCAATAAATGCAGGGGGATCTGCATAGAGAAAAAAAAATTCGTTTCAGAGTATTCTAAATTCGACCGAGAGATGTTCGGTAGAAACCTAACAAAAATGCCAATTGAATGATGAAACAATTCAGCTGAAAAGGGCACTGCAGGCAGGACACTAAAGACGAGACAATAAAGGTGGGGCATTGAAAGCGAAACATTGATGGTGGAACTTGAAATGTGAGATTTTGAAGGTGGGAACTGAGGCAAGACACTGAAGCCAGGACATAGAATTCAGGACCCTGAAGGAGAAACGTTGAAAAAGGGGAACTCAGGGTTGAGCACTGGATGTTTGATACAATAAGAAACTGAAAGCACATGGAAGCGGGACACTAAAGGTGTGACATGAAAGGCATGGCACTCAAGGCGGGACACTGAAGATGGAATATGAAAAGCGGACGTTGAAGGCGGAACATCGAATGTTGGAACTTGAAGGAAGTCCATTGAAGGTTGAAAACAAAAGATTAGACATAAAACTAAGGACCATCAAGGTGGAGTAGAGACACTGAAGGTGGAATACGAAACGTGGGACACCAAGGGTGGGAAACTAAAGGAAGGAAACTGAAGAAAGTGTACTGAAAACGGGATTAACATTGCAGGCCATACACTGGAGATGAGAAACTGAAAGCAATCGTGAATGGGACAGTAAATCCTAAATCGTAAAGTTGGATTTTACTAATGCTATCAAACCAGCTATTCTGTGTCGTATGTTTCACAAGCAAAACGTAGTTTAACAAATGATCTGAATTTAACGGCTTACAGTTTCTTTTGCAAAATCAATGAATTCATCCATGCCAAGCTCTCGAAAGACAGTAGCTTGAGTCTTTGCGTTCACCAGAGAAGTACGAAGCAGCTATAAATATGAATTATGAACAATAATCTAACACTGTTAGCCTAAAAATAATTAAAGTAATCAAAGTCGGGTAAAGAAAAAAAGATTCTTGAAACCATAAAGGCACGACCTGACATGCAAAGTAAATACAAAATACTTACAGTCAAATGTCCTTCTTGGTGGTCGGGAAAATGTCGGTACACATAGTCAGATATGATGAATTTCAGCACAGAATCTCCAAGAAACTCTAGTCTCTGGTTGTTTCCACTTTAAAATAAAGAAGAGGGGCATAGAACATATTTTTGCAGAAGGGTCAAAGATGATTGAAAAAAAATCATAGCCTCTAAAATGAAATCTTGATGAAGTAAAGGGTATTTACCAAGTTAGAGTATCGTCATCCGCGGCAGACCAGGTAAATGCACGAGCAAGGAGGCTGATATGGTTAAACGTTAGGCCAAGTCGATCTTCGAGTTTCAAAAGTTCCTATGGGAAACAAATTCATAAATGTAGAGAGTGAGCGTCCTTTTAAATTCTAGATTTTCACATAATTTAAATACCAAATTCAATATAATACTCATAGTCGTCTCTAACTCGGCTTTCTACATTGGCGACTAACATCCGGCGAAAGGAAACTCAAAGAAAAGTAAGGAAACGGAACAAAATAAAACACAACGAAACAAAACGTAGCAAAATGGCTATTCGATTAGCACCCCTTCCAAGTCTTTCGCCACATTATTTACGTAAAATTAAAAATGGTAGATAGTTTTTCGTACGATTCGGACCAAGAAGCACACAACCGAGTACAAACGCTTACAACAGGATACGAAAAATGCATTCTGTGACTTCCTTCGTGATTGAGCAGGTATATAAGCAATATATTGATAAAGGCAACCTTCAGAAAGATTCCACATTTTAAGAAATAATTTGAGGATGATATTTGCAATAAAAAATCTCTTTAAGACTCTTTCTTTGCAACTTCTTTTGATCATTTCATCATTTCATGCTAATCGTATCGTTGATCCTTACCGTATTGGAAGTTAAGCCGAGAAAGGGATATACCAGCAAAATGATTGTAAAATCTTGTTTCTTAGAGGAAACATCTCTCTTTTTTATTTTATTGACATTTTTATGATTCTCTAAACTTATAAATTTGGAAAGCATTAAGTTTTGTTTGACTGATTTTGATAGGCTATCTATTCAAACAACAGAATTTAACAGCGTCGTTCAAATGCAAAGGATTCCATTCGAGCAGGCAAATTATGACAAATAAAATTCAAGATTGCAAGATAAGCCATCAGTATGTTTCTGCCCACTGAACGGGCCTTTTTTATTGGTATATGCGTTGTTTATTCATCAAAAATTAAACAGAAATTAGAATCAAGGATCCGTGATGACTTGAGAGGACAAATACCACGCTTGATCGGCTTTTTAGTGATAAAAAAACTGACCCGTGTATAACTATGGTGTTGACAAATGCTAATTATCGTTGAACGATCAAGTATTTTACAGACGAAAATTGGAGAATCTTCTGCAAACGAAATATGACCTATGTAAACTAAATCTGAATTTGACCTGAGCTTACTGTAGTTTCTGGTAAAAAATCAACGTTAAATTTCCAAAATATGTAATGTGAAATAAACAAAGGCCTTTAATAGGGACTAATTGACAGGCCGTTGAATTCGGAGCCTATATAAAATTCAGATTTCACTTTCTGTTCTTCAGGTATACTCAAAATCATCCAAATAAATCCCATTTAAATATAGCAGAAGTAATTAAACTTTACATGTGATAGACTAGGACGGTGCCAGATATAAATCAGGTCAGTGTAGTTGGGAAATGTCTAGAAATTCCAGCAAAAAACCTGACGACAAAGTAACTTAACACATTACGAAAACACAAGGACGTAGCCGATATCAACCTGAAGTCGCGGAGACCTTTCGATTAGATGTCTGTCACTTCCGGGTGCTCTCGCCTGTAATCAACACACGATGTATCAAAATAGTACATAAACCTGGAATATCAGATTGATTTGATTAACGTACTGATTAGAAGGTAATCAATGGGTTAATTAAACTTAGAGCTTTATCCGTGTAGGGTGACTAACACATATTGAGCACAACGCATATTGGAAACAATGGGACTTCTTTTGAATTACAGTTAAAACAAGAACAAATTTTCATTACTTTGCTCCAAAATAGGTTTTACATCAATTAATTAATATATCTATATATCACACCATGCCCGAACACAAAATATTATACAGTAACTAAACAGAAATTTTGGCTGAAGCTTTGTTGAACAATTTTACCCTGGCTCCAAAATTTTATACAAAGAAGTCTGGGAGCTTTTCAAAACACGGACAGAGAGGGGAATGCTTCTCATCAGGTGCTCTATAGGATCCTCGTTTGACATCAAATCAGGTTAAAATAAATCTTCTGATAATGTCAATCCATAAATATCATAGACTTTATTTGTTTCTACTCATTATGAAAACTAGCGTCAGGATTTGATCACTAGATGCCTAACTTTGCATTTATTCATATTACAACGTCCATTAAGATTGAGAAATGCGTTGTTAAAATTTAAGTAGATTGTGACTTGTGGTATTGAAAATATTACGATTGTACAAAGAAGTTAGCATTGGCAATTGTTTGCTTTCTGTATCAGCAAAATGTATTACAGCTTTTTTATTATCTTAATCTGAGGTTAGAATTAGTCAAACGGGACTGCCTTGGTAAACTCTGAGTGTTCAGCTATTTAAAATGAGAAATGTTGATAATTTACAGCCTTTTCATTCTCCGGAACATGATACACGAGATTTTTCAAAAAAGAATCAATATCTGAGACGTTTGAAGAAATAAGTTATAAAGACACCAAAACCATATATAAAGAAAGAATTTAATAGTTTAACATTTAGATAGTTGTGTTGTTGTCTCTTTTATAGCGTTCTTCTAACAGTTCGTGGATTAGCAAGGTACGACAAGTCAAATTTTAATTTACCTGCAATAAATGCTTCGGCGTATCCATCCAGATTCTGCCCAAATCCTAAAAAGATTTCAAACAAAGTTTATATGCATAAAAATATAAAACACAAGTAAATTAAAAAACGTTTGTATATCGAACAGAATGGAATTAAGGAACCATTCTGCTTATAAAAGCCCTCCTTAAAAATTAGTATACTGAAAATATTTTCATGTCAACTAGAAGTAAAATGTTTTTTCAAAATATTAAGACAAGCATGCTTCTCTTGCTTTGACAAAACATTATATACAGTTTAGAGTAGGATATAGTTTGATAGGATCATGAGGAATAAAAAAAAGAATCTTACTTTCTCTTCAAAATGAAGAAACTGCAGGAGTTTGTCTGCTTGATCGTAGCCTCCATCAAGGAATACAGCAGCTGAAACATTCGAAGAAGAGGCTAGAACATATACAAACACTTAAATATGGTAAATGTTTCTTAAGATGAGATGAATGTTTGCTAAAAGTTTGAATATTTTAGAGTTTGAATCATTTATTACCAACAGTTTTAAGTATAAATACGCCTTCCTTCTCTGCCAATATACTTTTTTACTAAGTCACTGATGATGCATTTTTAGAAATGAATTAACTAAGACAACTTAATTTCAATATAAACTCGCAGAGAACTTAAGAACAAGTCTGGTTTTAACTGAAAATAAATTCAAAGTACCTAGAATCGCTTCAACGCAGTTTGCCAATGAATGATCCATTCGGGCCTTGGGCCAATCACTGAAAAGAAGCAACCAAAGTTTCTTAACATTCCTGGCATTTGAGGGCGTTCTGCCCTTAAGCGATGGTAGCAAAAAGCAAGGGTAACATTGTTTAGATTGTGCACCGTTCAACACTTTAAATGCTTACTACAAAAAAGGAAGTTCACCAAAATTTAGAATTTTGTGGTGGAATGGTGGAATGTTTAACGCTAAGAAGGATTATTACACACTTGAAGGGATTTTCGAAAACAATTTAATGGAACTTAACAGCTTCAACTACATTTCAAGGATCTTTTTGTTACAATATACTTAATGAATTAAATGTTTGCAAATGAAATACTTAATTAAGTTATACTTAATGAAAAACATTTTCAGCTGCGCACTTTATATTGTTGGCACTTAGGTTCGATAACAAATCTGAAGAACAAAGTCTGAAATTTCACTTACGAATGTCCAAACAACATAAAGTCTTGCAGTTCCAATCTCTTAAAAGAAACAACAATATAAACAACAACACCACTTACTTCTTGCGAGTTAGGGATTTTATATTCAACAGCAAAGAATCGTCGCTTCTTGACAAAAATGCCACGAAAGAATTTAACAAAAAGCAGACAGACACGAAAAAGAAAACTTGCATCGCACTGATTGATTAAAATAATATCTTCTTTGCTTAAAGCAGCATGTCTATTGAAATATCATTTCCGTTAACATAGTAGCACTGAGAGACAACAAATTATGACAGATTTTAATCAAATTCCCATTTTAATTGTTTCACAGCTTCAAATTGCTACTTACGTTTCAAAAACATCAAATGGTGCAAATGGATGATCAAAGAAATGATTTATCAAAACAATAAGACGAAATGTTGTGTTATGAAAGAAGAAAACAGTGACAAATATGACAGTAATGTGCATGTACAATTACAAATTAGAAAGTCAAGCCCTCAGCTGTAAACCAAAGCTGCCAAGAAATTGTAACAAAACAATAATAATTTTTTTCACCACTCCCGTCATATGACAACATCTAGATGCACTTCTGGAGCAATAACTTCTTAAGAGGGGAATCGGATTCAGAAATGCGATGAAAGCGATACACGGGGCAAAATGATTCAGAACCCCAAAGAAGAAAATATAACAAAGCAAATCGTTATTCTTGCTAACCTTTGCTATTTCGGCCAGCTGTGCATTGCCAACGAGCAATGACCTGAATTTTGACAGTTCCCCTTCAGATTTGGTTCCAAATAGAAAAAACAGTCGTGAACTGCAATTGATATTGATAACTTGCTCGTAATTAATTTAACAACGAATTTCGACAAATTTGTAAAGAATTTCGTGAGGTTAAGCTAGTAAGTTTTTACTGAATTATGCCGAAGGAGGGGGATCATGAAAGAATTATTGATAAAGAATTTGGTCTTCTGATGTTGGTATTTCTCAGAATTTTCGCAAAACATTCAGCCGAACTGATGAGAAAAATTGGCCTTGCTCGATAGATTTACCAATTGGAGAAACTGCACTAGCACAAGCTCCGTCTAGCCAGACTGATTAAAATTAACCCTAGGCAAATTATGACACTTATGTAAGAAACATCCTTGCAATTCAATATGAAAAAAGTTGAAAAGTCCACTAACCTCACAATGATTTCGAGAACTGAATCTCCAAGAAATTCCAACGATTCATTATGACGTAATCTAGAAAGTTGGCCAAGCGATAATTTACTGAAGAATGAATAAAAGCTTTTTGAAAGCAATGGCAAGATTTCTACTGGAGAGCGGATTTGTGCTGCAAAAGAATGAAGCACCGTCATTTAAAATCAGATGAAAACAACTTACGTATAAGTACATATTTATTAAACCGAATGATAGTGATTCACAGCCATACAAAGACAAGAGGAGTACATTGCTCATTTTCTTTTCCAGATTTTATTAGTGAGAATACAAAAACTCACGAGGACAGCTGTACTTCTGTTTCGGCTAACTTTGACATAGTTCCAGACAGATTTTCAAGACCTTTAAAGAAAATTAATTTAAAATTAATGAATTTAATCAAACCAAAAAATCTATATCGTCTAAATCTAATTTAATTTTTTAAAACGTACACACAGGGTCACAGTCAAAAGCAAAACCAGAATCATGTCTTTTCAAAAGAACAAACATTTTTTCCCAGTCTGATTCCTCTTCCAGTTTATATTCTAAAATACAACATTCAAAATTCAACAATTGGTTTTGGATAAATCTACGATGTGTGTTCATTTCAAGTAGAGTATGACAACAACAGGTCGCAGTGGAACCAGTATTGTTTGGTGGGCAAATATTCCCAATATCCAAAGAAAATTTTTCAACACCCAAAAAACAGCATAAAGTGTGTCTTTTGAATTTCAAAAGAAGAGGATGGTCACGAGCTGTTACCCAGAAAATTAAAAATATGGGCTGCATAGACTCATCCAGTAAATATTTCTTGTTACCGAAGTACCTGAGTCTTTCTCAAACTCATCCAGTATAACTTTTATTGATTGTCACAACATTCAAGAGCTTCATGATTTTGAAATTTATATTGTAACTTCATAACATTTAAAAATGATAGTGAATAAAGCAGCTGACCTTTTCTCTTTGAGTATTTCCTTAGGCTCTCTCCATCTCCAAGCTCTACATTCGAGAAGCCGCAGTTGAAATATGAAACGTGGATGTGACTGAATTGGGTAAGTCTCTTTGGTAACGAGACGTGATGAAGTGCAGTCTAGGGGTGAACATGCACTAAGTTAGTCCCGATATATTGTGTATTTTGAACAAGTATCTTAATTAATAAATTACTGGTGCAAATTATTACTTCCACAGATGATACTGAATTCGGATGCCTGTGTCAAAAGTGATATTTTATCTGACAGAACTCTAAATTGAAATAGATAAAAATCAGAGTAGACTTATATATCTAAATCACCGCCCGAAATAAAAGCAAAAATTTTTTACTTTTAAAAAAGAAGAATCATTTAGTTCACAATACAGGTTGCTAGTATTAAACTTTATAGCCGATTAGGAAGGGACAAATTTGAGTATTTTAGCAAACACCTCTGTACGCTTACGCTGTCCCATTCTCTAACAGTCATATTTCAGGTTCACAAAAAGGAGCTAGCTGATGGCAAATCTACGAAGATAGCCTCTATAATCTACAGATAGATTTTCTTACGATGCCTCTAAAAGTTGCATAAATCTACTAAGAAATAAACGATGTTGCAGATTATATTAGGTCGTCTATTAAGATCTCGAAAAAGAAAGTACCTCCAAGAAAAGTCTGTTCTTGAACCTGTAGTTAATCTTCCTTTCGAGAAGATCAAGGCTTTTGTGATATCTTATGTGATCTGTGATTGCATATAGAAGAATTGTATGCTGCCAATTGAAAAGCATCTGAATACATCTCTTAAATACATCAAAGCTAAACAAAAAATTAACTCACTAAGTTACCAACTGAATTGAAAATAAACGTCTTAAGTTAGAAAAAATGGCACCTTTTGAAGCAGACAAATTACTGGAGAAGAGTAAATGTCAAGTAATCTGACAGGTTCATTTTTTTACAGAAGATTCTTAAAGTCTCATCAATGTAGAGATGATCTACCTTAACAGTAACAGTTTAACAGAAAATGATACCCAGTATATCAGTGATATTAAAAAGGGAATAAATTATAATTTATTTAACCTTTAGACAATTTATAATTTTTCCAGCTGAAGACAGCAGATCTACTATATCAACCATCGAGTATATTTCCATGAAACCGTATGCAGAAATTGTATCGTCAGAATATGCAGGGATGTCATGATACCTCAATTCTTGCAACTACATAAAGAGAAATGTTTCCAGAATGCACCCACCTGGAACACGTCAGTCATTAAACCAGTTCTGTAGCAGTTTTTTGAAGAAAGCCACACTCTACTTTGACGATTCATTTTCCTGAATATTTTAGTAAAAAAAATAAGGATTCAAGATTCAAATTGAAAATTATATTAAAAGCAATATCTTGACTGAAAAGTTAGTTCACAATAGGTCATATTAAGAGAAAATAACATCTTCTACCGAACGGACTTGTTCTTGTTCTAAATTAACAATAGGCAATGTTGTAAAAAATAAAAATGTCATCACATCATTTGAGCGCATGTTATTTGTATCAGCTACAAAGGGTGTTAGTTACCTTAGGTTTATTATCTCAATTAAGAGCTTTAATCAATTAGGCATTGAGTTTGATCATAAAAGTAATATTTTTACCTATTCCTTTTCATCTTTTCCATTTCTCTCTAAAAGCAAGAAAAACCATTGCTATAAAACGACAGGAAAGAAGTAAACAGTCGCCTATTGAAAACAAAGTGCTGAAATGCCAAGGGTCGGGCGGACTCACTGGAGCCGGCAATAATTTCATAACGCACGCCTCAAATTTAATAATTTGTTTTTTTTCTAATAATATCTCAATATCGTGCAGGCAAGAACAGAAACTGATAACAACGTTACCAAACAAAATAAGGGTACCAGCGATATCAGAATCGGATTTAGGTTCGTTTGTTTGCTATGTCTGTGAATGGATGAACAAACACTTATCTATCACACCTTTATACATGCAATCTAAGCATTAAAACTTTGTCACCAAAAATATGAAGGCCAATCAAAAAGTGCTCTTAAACCTAGTGAAACTAAAATCAAATTTTAGGATACCTCTATATTTCTGAGATCCTCAAGTTGTTTTTTCACTGGCAGAACACTGGAGTGGAAGCAATAAGTACTCAGTTAAAAAAAACACAAAATAGGTCCTCAATGTTCAAATATACAAATATAGAATTTTAGCTAATTGCAGAAGGTGCTTCAAGGTTTCCTTAACATTAAACTGATATGAGAAACCTTGATTTTTCATGTCAGTTTAATAAATGATCTGATAGTGAGTCAGAACATTGGCAACAAAAAGTTTTTGGGTAAATCGAATATAAAACGTCTATGGCGCTAATAAGATTATTTTCCCCCTAAAGAAGGGGCCTTAAAAACAGGAGATGTTAAAGACGAGCGGTTTTCAATGAGTTGCTTAGACAATGAGGATGTATTAGTATTTATCTATCTTCATCACAAGAGTTTATCAGTTATTCCTGCCTTTCCTGACAATATAAAGCAGTAACTGAGAAAACTTACAAGACTAGAGCTTATATGTTGTTTTACCCTTTCGTTAAATAATGAGTCTTGAAGTTTCAAATTAATGATCATTGAAGAGTCTAAATATGGTTAAAAAGAGATGGGATGTTTAATAAAGAATATACTGTTTTACGTAAAAAAAATTTCAAGAACGTAGATTTGGAGTAATTTTAGCAAGATTATTTTTACCCACCAATCTTCAACAACAAATCTTAGATTGTCTCTTTTCCGTCTCAGCTTCTCATAACTACAATATATGAAGATGTATCTCTAAAGAGCCTGTTAAAGTTGCTTGGGTAGAAATTTCAGCCAAAAAATGAAGAAAATAATATTTACCAGAAACAAAATGGAAAGTAACTGCAACAAAATGCAACACAACAACTTCTTCCCTTTTATTTGATCTGTTGCGAATTCTGGTGGCATCAGAAAAATTAACGTTTCAGAGAGCAAAATCCACCAAACAGAAAAAAAGGGCGAAGAAATGAAATCAGAGCCCGAAGCATTTCGTAACGCCAGAGACTGGATCTTCGTTCACACAATTCCAGAAAAAGAAAAGCTGCTTTGATTTAAGTATCGTTTCAATCTTTGAAGAGGTTATCTGAACAGGTCTAGTAAAAGTGAAGTTTGAAGGTTTAACAAAAAATAACAGGGTTTGAAAAAGTGCTCTTAGCACGTCATGTTAAAAAATATTTTCTGATTTAAAGGTTCTTACATTCGATTTTTTGCGGGGTCGCTTTTTGGTGTATCACCACTATAATGTAAGACTTCCGGATACCTCTAATTAGAAAAATCATTGGTGTCATTTAAAAACAAATTCTTGCTTTATACAATTCAAACCTATTTTATGAAAAGGCGATTAATTCTGAGGCGGCAGCGATTTCATTACTGATTTGAAATATCGATCAGCAAAAAATCTGCATTCACGTGATTGACTGTGCAAATCCATTGATTGTTTTAATTATCAGAAAATACTATATACCATCTTTCCAAAATACAAAATTCTTGTATGACATCAAAATCTCAACTCTGCTCCACATTGCATTTTTAACGATAGCTTAGATATGCGCAAATGTGTGCTCTCTTCAAGCAAACGTTTTACAAAGAGATATCAGGTGAACCTTTCTAAACAGCCATAAAACAAAAGAATGATCACAATCGTCAATATTTACATCGCCTTGAAAGCCCCCTGGTCTTAGCCCATCCAATCGTAAACATGCTGGTTTCTAAAGGAAAAAGCAATACAATAGACATGCTTATACATTAGACAAAACCAATTATACAATTAGAGAACATCACGGTTTTACTATTTCTTTGAAGCAAGATTTAGGTCTTCAGTACTGTTTAAATTTAATATGCATTAATTTTGTAGTATGAAACTGGAGTTATTTCAAACTTTCAATTTGATGGCAGTAGATTTGACAATCAGAGGAGTAAAACTCATGGTATATATAATATTTGGTACAGGCTTCCATACCGTTATTGTTCTGCCTCTTGCAAGGGTAAAAATGCAAAGTTTTTGACAGCAAACACTACAAATTGTGTTATTTTGAAAATGAATTATACCTTGCAAGTCAAATACCAAAACAATAAACATGGAATTTAAACCCACCCTTCCAGGAAAATGCACAAGGCTTTCGCGCATTGTTCTCTCTTCCTCTTCAAAAAACGATCTCCGTCTATCGAAATCCTCACGCTGAAAAGTGGAGCTCCATAAATAGCAAAAATAAAAAAAATAAGTGTACTTTGCTTCAGATGAAATTTTGTAAAATTTTAAATCATAAGACCCTTTCAGTTAGCATCCACAAACTGCGAAATTTTCTCAGGCTGTTTCTAAAGTTACATCATGTGACACAGCTTAATCGAAATATAGTAAAATGAGAGTAAGCTGATATTGTGAATTTCAAGTTCTACTTGAAAACATTAAGCAGCAAAATCAAAAAGCATCAGAACTTCAAATCATGAATTGCATGTTGTGCAATAGAAATGTAGACGTTGTTGGTCAAGCTTATCAAAATGGTGAACAATTTTCGCAAATTTCATATATATAAACTTAAACGTGCTTGCTTCGAAGACCTTTTCAGTTTCGAGCTGAAATAAATAGTTTCCAATGCTTCGGTGAAATAAATTTACAAAAATTCAGTCTGAATCAGCAAATGATGAAACATAGTCATTCTTCAATTTCCCTAATTCATTAAGACTTTTTACGGAGTATAAAATATTTGCAATGAATAGAGAATTTACTGACACGTAAGGTCATTCCCTTCCCATCTTACGACATTGAAAAGGTTCTCGACATATCCCTTTGTAGCATCCACGTTCTATTACTGAATAATTTATAGCTAGATTCAAGAACCAACTAATTGGAGACTTAATCAAGTCAGAGCTCAAACCAACAATGTTTAAAATGGATGGCGCAGTGATTAGGTAATGGGGTTCGATCCCCTGCAATGATCATTCATTCGCTCACAGCGAGGACAGACACCAACTTTCTGTAATTCTAGGCATAGAAATTAGGAGGGGTAGTTACATCGAGAGGAAGGACAGCTTGATAAGCATAGTTTCTCAGAGTCCTAACAAATACATTCGGAAGCTATGTAACAGAATTCAAGGCTAAATATACAGACAGTATCGTTGGTGGTGGGGCAGGTTCAATTATTGCCCTGGCAATGTAATTTGCTTAAAATTCCCCGCAGTAAAATTTGATATTTTTACAATGAATTATCCAACTATGAACAATCTAATTGTGTAAAACAACAACTTGCACACATGCATCGACGTAAACTCTAACTATTGTATAAAGGAAAACGTATCCTAGAAATGCTCTGACTTGCCTTGAGTAGGGGCTTGTGACTTTTCATAAGGTGTTTCAGCACATGGAGCATGGAAAGGTACCTCGGTTCTGATTCAGTTCCACTGCATGTAGCTGAGCCCCCATCTGGGAACAAATGATGAATATAAAAGTAAATAATGCGAGCATAACTCAGTGGTTGGGGTCATAGACTACAGTTCCATGGGTTTGGGCCCGAGTCCCTAAGTGACCAAAATTTCATCTAGAGTGAGGGAAATCACCAGCTCTCTGAAATTCCAGATCTAGGAATCACCCGGTGCGGTCGTATCGCGGGAAGAAGCCAGGATACTGCTCGATAAGAACAGTCTCATGAAAACTACCTTCCGATGCTAGGTAGAAACAAAAACAAAGAACAAATATGAAAATTAAATATGAAATAAATTAGTATCAGAAAGTGCAAAATTAGTATCAGAAAGTGTAAAATTATTTGGTAGCTGTTGCAAAAAAACAGGTGAATATAAAATAACAAGAAGCTTAATGCTGAAATCATTTTCAAACTCGAAGCAACCAAGACAGGCACAAAATTCAACAAAGCAACTAAGACAGGCCCAAAATTTATTGGGCAGCATCTAAGCAGATTTTAGTCTGAAAATGACCAATTCCTTTAGAAACTTGAGGCTGACGTAAAAAACAAAGTTGCTGATAAAAAACGTATAATTTTCAATATTTCATTTGAATAATGACCTCTCTGCCAGGCTAATAGAAATGGCACTGTTTTGAAGGCTTTGTAGATAATCTATTATTTAATTTGGTATCTATTTAAGTCTTGCCCCATATTATACCTGCGTGGCGCATATGACATTCTACAAGGGCTTTATTAGTGTTTAATAGCATTACTATACTATTTCTATGCCACTTAACAGCCGCAATTTCAAGCAAAGGTGCAACTACAACAAGAATACAAATGCCATACCTTTAGTGAGAATGAATCGTGGCATAAAATGAAATATTCTGCAGCTGTCTCTTTTACCTTAAAAGCAAAAATTCATTGGAAGTTAATTTATTCAGAGAAATATCTTACCTTAAGTAAGCCATACAAATAACTATGGTAAGAGTAGAGAAGAGTTTGCCACTGTGATTATGTATCTCATTGAACCTCGGAGCGTTCTGTTATCGGACAAACACCATGAGTGAGCCTGCCGGGTTCGAAATTAATCGTTTGTCTCAGTGAGATAATTTGGTAGCACAAAAATGATATTCTTGAAATCAGGTCTAAGATTAGTCTCAAAGACAACATATAATACACCCGACGAGTTTTAAATTAGTTATTGTTGCTATTTTTCCAAGTAAACTTTTCTTATTTCATAATTCAGTCTTGTGTACAAGCCCTCTGTAACACTGTCTATTTAATATTCAACATTTTCAATAGGCAAACGGCACTGATTGGCCAAACTCAACAGTCACATGCTCGCGTTTCTGATTGGCCTATTTCGATCCACAACTGGGTGTATATATTTCCTAGCGTAGAGTTTTCGATCTATGTTCTGACAATTTATACTCTGAAGAGTGTCGGATGAAAAGCTTAAGTATGACACACAATGTTTGGTTTTTCAAAGCCATAATTCAGTAACCTCTTGGTGCTTTTAATTCTTCATCCATTCTTTAGCAGCTTCAACAATAATCATCAAAAAGTCAATTTCAACAAAACGTATTTACAAATTTCACTTTTAGATGTTTGCCAATATCATCAGGCAAGCAAACTGAAAACATGACAAAAAACACTTTTTGCTTTAAAATCATGGCATATGAAAATTGAAAATGGAAAGCTGAAGTCAAGACCTGGTGTTTTCCTTTTCAGTTTATTTCAACAGTTTTGTGAAAATAAGATGCAGACCAGAAGGACCGTGTGATAAAAAGGGTTTAGCGAGTTCAATTGCAAATAATTTTAAAGGAATAAATGGTCTGATAATTGCCGCTTGAAAGTTTGTTTTGGTACAGGGAAACAAACAGGTAAATTTTCTTGCATGATTAGAGTTTGGAATCGAGGCCCAGATTAATTACTCCTAGCTCTCACTGATCTTTCTAGTAACTTCTTCATTTAAAATGGCAACAAACAAAAGGTTGGCAGCAAAACAGAAAAAAACAAATGGGTATTGACATCCTAAACCAAAACAAGTTTACTTCACGCGGACGGCAGCCACTAAATGCAAAAACAATAGGCAACCAGCAAGTAATAACATTGCGCATAAATTTCCAGCGTTTTGCTGGATTATAAGCATGGAAACGAGATCACATAACAGGCTTTTTAGCTGTATTTAACAGATCATTTATTCCTTTAGAACAATGGGATGGTTACAGGCTAGTTAACCTGTCCTTCCATAGAACACAAGAAAAAAAAATAAATGAATTCATTGTCATTTCCTCGCTGTCACTGTGGATCCTATCGCTAGAAAGAGCCAATTTTTTCATACTTACAAAAATAAAATATTAGATTTAGTAAGAAATAGATGAACATGACGGATATCAACATAGAAAAAATGACGTAACTAATACTGTTTCGCTCAACACTTAAGCTGGGTCTGAGCATGAGATTTCCGCATGCAATTAAAAATTTATGTCGGCGAAATGATTAAATAACATCAGAAAGTAAAAACTAAATTAGGTGGAAATGAAACTGAAATTCATCTGGATAATCTCGTTTTTTGCTTTTTGAACTAGTTGCTTAGAAAAGTAAATTTATTAATTGGATGGAGTATTCGCTACAAGAACTGCCCAAATGATAAGCAAGTTCTAAATATGAAATTGAAGGTTTTTGCCATATGAAGGCTCTACAGCTAACTTTAAAACGCTTGAACTAGGAAAAATTGCGAAAATAAGAGATATGGTGTCCTCATATTAAAGCCATTAAAAATGGCCGCCTAGATATAAATACAAAATCTCAACATACCGCTTATGTTCCAATCCGAGATTTCAAAATACTCTTCAAAAACCAATTTATGAAATAGTTCGAGGTCTTTGATGCAGAATTTCTGATTTAAAAATATAACATACTTATATGGTCAATAAAAACCTTTGAAGTTAAGAAATTTTGACATCATACATGCGAATATTAAACATTAAATTTTTTTTTCAAACTTAGAGAAATAGTCGTCTGTTTAATTTAAGAACATTCAAGATAAACATATTTTCACAATGACGTTTTAGTTTAAGGTTTTGGATCTGGTAATGAATAAAAACAATATGTTTTTATACCTTAGATGAAAATTTAATAGCACTTCAAGTTTGAAGCAACGCTGGGTGATTAAGAAAAAGAAATACTGGCTGAGTAGCGTTGAATAAAAATTTTCAACAGCGCTTGAGTACACTATAAATACAATAAGACATCATGACAACATCCCTCAAATAAACACAATAATTTTGGAAGTATTTCCCCTCCCTGCTTTTCTCCCGCTTTTAAGTACTTTAAGGATAAGTTTAAAAACCTCAGCTATAAGAACCTGCTGGCCAGACCGAGTATTCTGTCTGTAAACATAAAAAAATTGTGACCAAGAAATGTTTAGTGACCAGTCAAAACAATGCCTAGTCAAAACTATAGCTTAGCTTCATCTAGTGCTTCTGTGTGAATTTGTTAATTGGAAAAAGGCCGGAACTTTCTCTCACCTTAGGAATATTCTCTGAATGAAGTGTAATACTGTATAGTCTCTTAAAATAAGTGAATGAACATTTTGGTACCTAAGTGAAAGAAAGAACTTTATTCACATGTCCAGTAATACACAAATAGCTCGAAGAGGCGGGGAAAATATCAATGATTGGATGGTGTAGTGCGGTTTGGACGGAAAATGGAAAAGAATGTTTCCACCTGTCAGTTTTCACTTCCTTTGGGGCCTTTCTTGCAAAGGACTAAGTTATCTTAATGACGCTTCGCTAGTATAAACAAGCCTTCTTTCTCTTTCCTCGGTCAATATTCTTTGATAAGAAGATTAAATTCTGGGAGAAGCGAGAAACGCCAGGAGAGAATTTGAACAAAATGTTTAAAGAAAGAAAGGGAGAGTTCCATACGGGGATGTATTGCTATGAAAAGTGCAGGGGGGCCCTCGCAAAACTGAAAACAAGAGCAAAAGTAGAAGAGGATCTTAACCCTTTGAGCCACCCCAAGGTCTACAGCTCTCGCTGCCTGTGATCAGTACGAAACACTTTTGTGGCATATTCTTTAAGGGACAAAAGAATAAAAATCTATGATATCGGTCAAATCAATGACTCGCGTCTATTTGATAAATATTAAAAACTTATATAGCAACAGAAATACCTGCTAAGAATTTAAAATATTCAGTATAACAGATACCCAGACAAAAGAAAATGATTTTTCAATACCCTTTCAAGCAAGCAGTGTGTCAACAGAAGGAAGCCATCAAACTCGTAAATATCTCCACGATGACAAATTTCTGTAGGAAATCTTGCCTAAAACAATTAAATAAACGTTAATGATCATTACTGATTCATGTAATAATACTGAAATAATCGTTATTACTTCAGAAGCAAAAACTATGGTAAATGATATTTGACGGTGTTAAAAGGTTGTGAACAGTGGTAAACGGTAGTTAAATGTGATTATAAGTAAATATTATTCAAAATATGTCTTTGGTGCTACAAACTTACAAAACAACACGAAATTATACCAAAATAACATGTCTTTTCCTTCCTACCATATTCATCTACAAACCTTATTGCGCAAGTATCATAAACCCTTAATTTAAGGGATTATCAAAAAGCGGCCGATTCAACATTAAACAAAATAGCAACTAGAACCTTCCTAAAAGTTGCTGGTATTTATTAAAGGGTCAAATATGACAGAATTTGCTAGGGAGGCCTGGCACCTGAAAACTTATCGTAAGACGTCCGCATATTAAACATTTATCCAAGATTCTTCAATATTCGTAATATTTTGACAAATTAGTTTACTCTTTTAAAGGATTAATTTCTGGGTTTAATGACAAAATATTACATGGTTTTCGATCCCGACACATAAGCCCCAAAGGACATTCTTTTGAGGTCGTTAACACAGGGGGCTGAAAATGCACAATCCAGGCAAGGCTCCTTTGATGCAGACAAAGATAGCATTTGGCCCCACCCCTCTTTCTTACGCTTTTTGTAGTTCCTCCCAGCTGCACTGCCTTCCTTTTTACGAGTGCTGCTTACGTATTCATAAAATAATCCAAAAATACTTTCAAAGCTACAGCGATAGGCAAGAGCTTGTCAGCAGACTCAATACAGACTTAAAATTCTGAAAATCTATGTTTATAACAACCCGAATTATGATTCAAAATTGACTCTGAATAATCTCCAAAATGCAAACATCTTACTCTGACACCTTGCAAAACTGAAGGAGATTTGATAATTCATCTAACTCTGATCCTGATTACCCAGTTTGGGCCAGCTGCGTGGGTTGCAAAACAACGTTTTACTGCAGCAAAAATCAAGAAATCTTGCGTGAAGTTTGCATATGCAGATGTGCTGGAGATATACCAGGTTCATCAGACCTTAAGCCAATCAGCAAAAATATATATCCTGAACATAAACACTAAGACTACTATTATGCTGATTTTCATAATTGTATAGGATCGAGAAAACCACCCCCTGCTGCTTTCTGATGTAAATTTCGTTTTTCTTGTTCCGGCACAGTATTGCTTCAAACGTGCCAATGAGCACCCCCTGCTGCATGAGTGCCTTCTTCCAATAAATTGTATTTATAACGGGACTGCGTATAACATAAAGTTGATTCGACAAAAAGTGTTCTGTAGATGCGAACTGATAAAATCCTTAACTGAATCTTCTTTCGATCGGATCGGATCGGATCGGATCGGATCGGATCGGATCGGATCGGATCGGATCGGATCGGATCGGATCGGATCGGATCTTCTTTGGTCATTTAAAATATTTCCACCAGCCACGACAACAATGTTACGTCAAACGTTCATATCCATTAAAATTGACTTTGACAAGTAGCGCATTCATTGCGCAGGCCTGGTATTGTTCCATGATAGGGCCAAATGCATGCAAAGATATTACCTAAACTCATACCCAAAATTGAAGTGGACTTTCATTAGCGCTTTAAACACGGACAAATCAAGGATATTGTCAAATCAAGGATATTAAGACAGATAAGCAAATGCTACTTAGGGAAACGGTGAGCAATTATCTTTAGAACAGCCTTCTCATTCTCGAACTTTGGCAGCTACCAACCCAGAAATCTAACTATAGCATATTCAGCAGCTGTTTGTCTTCTCTCCTTATGACGGAGCTAATGTTGAATTTCTTGCTTGGTTCCTGCCCATTTGGATGTTTGGGAATGCAACTTTTGAATTTCTTCAATAATTTGAAACTTGCCTTTGTTTGGATCAGCATTACCTGATATGGCTGGTACCATAATTTTAGCATTCTGCTGACGCTTTCCCTTTTCATCAAACTAAGTAGCTTTAAAAGCATTAACTGTCAACTAGACCTGTTAGAAAAATATTTTTCTAGAAACTTTGGGGTCTCCTGTCAGCTGCAGACCAAAAACACTTGAGAAAGAGAATGGCACAATCGATTGTTTTTTTCAATAGGCGAAGCGTCGAGTCGATTTTCTTTAAAAATTTACTGGGTTCAGCAGAACTTGACAACGTTAAACATATATTGCCTTTGGTGTATAGAGTAGGACAGTTCTACGAAGCAGACGGTTCTATACACCAAAAACGAGTACAGCTCTGCCTATATGTCATCGTGTACTTTATGACAGCCGTTAAAAAGTAGGGTTTATCATCATAAAATTGTTACACACAAGATGTCACTTGAGCATCTGCGTGCACGGAAGTATTTTCTAGTATTAATGGAAGTTTGACAATTCAAATCGTGTTAATGGAATTTTACCACACAATCAATGACTACAAGAAACATTTTGTTATCATATACGTTATGGCACTGAAATTCAAGTTTCCCAGTTTTGGTTTACAAATAAACTATAACGATGTTACCTTGAAGTTGATATCTGGGTTCACAGAGATGCGATAACAGTACAGTGTGTCTTCATTGTTTGTTGATGGTTCACAGCGTGGTACTGACTGGAAAGTAGGAAGCAAAATTAGAATGTTACAGTATTTGTGCCAATGTCCCTTCTCATGGATATGGGCATGAAAAAACAATGACATGCCAACGATCATTGAAGCAAGGGAGGGAGTGCTGAGGAGACTTCGCACAATAATATAATTCAAAAAGTGTACTTAAAGCCATACAATAAATCATCTTGCTCTTAGTTTTAAGCATGTTGAGCGCCAAAAAGTTTATAGGCAATCCCCCGTCCCATAATATTCTCAACGGTCCCTGGGCTATGCACAGGGAAAGGGTCAAAACTAGAACGATAAATCTACAGAGGCCATGTAAAAAGTGTTGACAGAGCATCTATACCTGCATAACAAAGTAAGATATATTGTTAAAAATTGATAAACAACATTTTTCTTCTCTGTGCCCTTTCTCTAGCACATTTGAAGCTTCAGACGCAGCCACAGATGGAATCAGGTTTGTAAAACCTATGGAAAGCCTTTTGCGATAAATAAGTTTATTACACATTAAGGTGGAAAAGTATTTATTTTCGAGCTTGATAAACTTGGGTTTAAAATCATTTTCAAGATTATAATACTGGGTATACTTAGTTGAATATTGCATAAGAAGAATACCTCAAATAAACGGTAGAATATTCACTCAAATAAATCCACGTAGAACCTCTAAATTATTGCTGAGATGATAAAATAATTAGCATGCTTTAATAAATTCTACCATTTAATCAAAACTTCTTATGGTCAGAGCGAAAAGATTTGCGATAGATCTGTTTTTTCCATTTGCAATAAGCAAGGTGCAGCTGCACTTCAAAGCTGCAGGGGAAAGACCTAGTAGGAGACAGACCTGTTGGAAAACAATTAGGACTCGTCAATGTGAGTACTAAACAAAGACTAAAAAGAAAGTCGGAAGACCGCCAACTACGTGGATAAAATTGATAGAAAAAGACTAAACACTG